GAGAGTGGTAAATGTCCACAAGGGTACCTGCAAGGTTGTCTCAGGTGGCAGCATACATGTAGGTCACCGAACATCACTTATCAGTTTGGCACTTGCTCATCTTACATGTCAGTGATACATCTGGCTCCATYGGTAGAACTCCTTGCTTCTAATTAGCAGAGTGATATTAAGTTTTCATAGGGAGAAGTTAATAAGGAAAAACATGTTGAAGAGCTCCTTAGAGTAGACAAAAGTAAAAAGTGTTGGCTTTCTGGACTCACATAGCTCAGGAAATAAATAGCAAGAATCAACAAATAGGATGGCATCAAATTACAATGTTTCTGCACAGCAAAGGAAATCATTAACATTGTGAAGAAACAGCCCTCAGAATGGGAGAAAATCTTTGCCAGCTACTCTTCCAACAGAGGATTAATATTTGAATGTAAAAAGAACTCAGATTCAACATCAGAAAAACAATCTATTTAATAAATAGGCAAATGAACTAAGCAGATACTTCTTTTAAAAAGTACAAATGGAATTCAATTTATGGAAAAGTGCTCATCTTTTGGCATCAGGGAAATGGAAATCACAACTACAATGAGATTCCTTCTAACTCTAGTCAGAACAGCAATCATTAAGACCACAAATAACAAATGCTAGCAAGGATATGGCGGGGGGGACGACTCTTACGCTGTTGATGTGAATGCAAATTAGTACAGCCCCACAGAAATCAATAAGGAATTTCTTCAAAAAACCAAAAATCAAACTACCACATGACCCAGCTCCACCACTCCTCAGTATTTATCCAAAAGAATTAAAGTCAGCATGTAGTAATAAATATGAATGTCTACGTTTATTATGACAAAATTCACCATTTCCAAGTTATAGAATTATCCCATGTGTCCATCTACAGATGACTGGATAAAGAAAATGTGGCACAAATATGCARTGGAGTTGAATTCCTTCATAAAGAAGAATAAAATTGTACCATTTGCAGGAAAATTGATGGATCTGGAGATCCACTTATTTTGTTATGCAAAATAAGTGACACTTGGACAAGTAACAGAAGGATATCATAAAAGCAAAAGGGTGAGTATTAGGGTAGAGGAAGGGGTCTAGGAAAAGGAGGAGGGGAAGGCAAGGGGAGGTACYGAGGAGTGAAATTAATCAAGTTATGTTATATAAGTGTATGAATAAGCCACAGTGGAATCCACTATTCTGTACAATTATTATGCAACAATTAAAAAAAAAAAACAAAAAGGTGTTGAAAAACATTGGTTTATGCAAGAATGTCTGTATTTCTGCTGAGAAGTTAAAATTATGCCAGGTCAACCACACCCTTTCATTCTGCCTCTCTGTGCCCATGGACAATGGGAACAAAGATAAGATCTGAATTTACATGTTAGAGTTTCTCCAGCCATTAACTGTGAATGGTCATATTTGCCCTGACTTGTACAGTTGGGATGAGATCTCTCTTTTAATCCCATGGCTCTAGTCATTTGTTCCACTCGTTTGTCACTTAGCCCTTAGCATTAGTGACCTGACATCTTTTGTATGTGTCTGTTTTGTCTTCATAACTAGATTAGAAAGTCCTTTATGGTAGAGACCTTGTGTTCACCTGATATTGCACTAATTTACTCACGTATCTATCAGACAGGCATTGAGCACTGCCAGGCACAGGGATAGATTAAATTAAAAAAAAAAATAGTAAGATATAGTCTCCGACTTTAAACATTTCTAGCAAACAAACCATGGCTTGGAAAATATAATGATTGAGATGTGTTTATTTTGTACAGAAAAGTACCCTACCCAACGGAGAGGAGGCCATCTTTAACYGAGGCTCAAAGGAAAAATGAGGAAGAGTAAGTTTCCCAGGTAGAGAATGGATGGGGAACAGGAAGACCATTCCAGGCTCAACTAGAGCTTCTGGTACATGTAGAGAGGGGCTGGAATGAGACCAGGCCTAAGCACAAAACTAAGGGCACGAATCTTGCCTCTGAGGCAGTGGGATTCCACTGGAGAATTGAAATTAGCCAATGGAATGATTAGTTCCCTTGTCCCAAAGGTCACCTGGCTGCAGTGGGGTGGGAATAGAGGAGGATTGGAACCTTGATGGGAGACCTTTCAGTAGGGCCGAATTGCTGATGCCTGAGCAAGGAAAGCGGGTAGGAGTGGAGGGAACCCCTGGAAGATCTGCTGGGGCAGGAGAATCCAGAGAACTTACTGATTTAAAGGTCACGAGGGCAAGTGAAAAATCAGTATCCCACTGCGAGGGGAGATTTGTCACTATTCAAACAAACAAAAACAGAACAGTTTATGCTGCAGTTTGGATCCAGAATGTTCCCCAAGGCCTCTGTGTTAACGGCTTACTCCCCAGCCTGTGGCGCTATTGGSAGTTGGTGGGACTCCGGTATTTGTTATAGTGACGAGAGCTGACTAACACAGTCCATGACCTGGACATTTCACTTATGGCTGTCTACCCTAAGAAGAAAATTCACTCACCAATGTTCCTGAAGAAGAAAAAGACTAATATGTCTACCAATAAGGATCTGGATAAAGAAAAAAAATTAAATAAAAAGCACCTCTATGTAACAAAATAATTCTTTCTCCAACACATTATATGACTGACAGAGAAAAAAGAAAAGCTTGTCATAGAATAATACATATAATAGGAGTTGATGATCTAGATAAAATTTTAGCTGGGCAAGGTGGTGCATGTCTGTAATCCCCCGTGGCTCTGGAGGCTGAGGCAGGAGGATGGTGAGTTCAAAGCCAGCCTCAGCAACTCAGCAAGGCCCTAAGCAACTCAGCGAGACCCTGTCTCTAAATAAAACATTAAAAAGGGCTGGGGATGTGGCTCAACGGTTAAGTATCTGTGAGTTCAATCTCTGGTACAAAAAAATAAAAATAAAAATCACTTTAACATTTGAAGAAGCCCCTCTACAGTTATCTTCCAAACTCTTCACCTTAAAGTAGACTTGTCGGATATTGAGTCTCACTCACCCACATAGTGCTACTTAGTTCTCTTATTTATTTATTTAAAATTTTAATATTGAGTGTGTAATAGCATTTATAGGACACATAAGTTGTGACACAATACTCCTATGTACACCCTAACTCCAAGACCAGAAAAACATTCTCGTTATTTTCAATGTTTTTTGTGTCCCTCTCAAGTCTTTCTTATCTTCCCCTCTCAGAAGTAACCATTCTCCTGAATTTTGATTAGAGTTCCACACTTTTTGTTATTTAGTTTTGCATGTTTTTGAACTTTATATATAGGAACATACAGAAAATACAAAAGAAAGGCAAAAGCATATCTAAAACRAGATAATGTTTTTCTTGGCAGATGATATGACTATATGAAGTTATTTGAAAATTAGAACAATATGACAGCCTGACAAAATGATTAATATGAAGATCAATACAAAATTATAGGTTCTTATATCAATAATAATTATAAAATAGATCTATTTACAGCAGCAAAAATAAAAACATAGTTTACCAACAAAAATGGAAATATGTAAGATCTATGTGAAACAAAATTTGAGATACCCCCTATACTTGGTTGGCTGTCATGAAACATAATATGACCATTACATTCTAAATAAATGCAAATTTCAAAAGAGAAATATTTGAAAACGAATTCACAATAAGTTACTAGCTTAATGAGCTTTCTTTCTCACCAATGCTTAACATTTTGCTCTGTGCATCTGAAAATTTAGATGTCCCCAGTGGTGTCTAACGTGTAGGACACGTTGCCTCCAGAAGAATCACCTTCAGGTGCTTACTGAAATGCTCATTGCAGACCACCCCCCTCAGAAATTCTGAGTTAAGAGTTCTGAGTAGAACCCATCCATCTGCATTTTAACTTGGAAAAACATTGCGTTAATTCAAAGGAAGGAATCTCAGATGGTAGCATCCAAGTTCTCTCTGGAGATCAGCAAAGAGACATTCTTAGGAATGAACATTTTTCTGGCATCAGGATTACATCAGGATAATTGGGCACTCCATAGGTTCATGTGTGGCTCTTACAAAGGTCTATATCTAGAGGACTGCATGCGGACATCATGTTTGTACAAGGTTATATGGTAAAGAATCTTTTATTCCCACAGTTTTTTATTGGTGCATTATAGTTGTAGATACTGCTGGGATTTTCTGTTACACATTCATACGTGCACAGAATACATAATCTAACAACAACATGTAAGGAATCTTAAGGACTGTGCCCTACATTTTGTGTTTGCTATGCCTTCTTTGGGTTCTTCCTTATGTCCTGTGGATTTGGAGGTGCTGTGATCAGAATTTTGTGTTCCCCAAAATTCATTTATTGAAATCCTTACCCCCAGATATGGTATTGGGAAGTAGGACCTTTATTAGGGGGTTATTAGGTCACAAGGGCAGAACCCCCTTGAATGGTATTAGTGCCCTCATAAAAGARCCCAGTGAACAGCTTGTCTTGTCTCTCCTACAGTGTGAGGACACAGCAACAAAGAGCCATCCGTGGGGGAGCAGGTCCTCACCAGCCACCAAATCTGCTGGCATCTTATTAACCTTGGACTTCCAGCCTCCAGAAATGTGAGAAATRAACTTCTGTTGTTTATAAGCGACACGGTTTGTGGTATTTTGATACTGGTATCATTGATAATATCTATTATTTTGTAGCCTGAACAGACTTAAGAGGAGGGGAGTAAGGAAGGTGGCACTGGGATCAAGGACAGCGGGTGGAGAGGCAAGGATTCGACCATGCAGAGGCCTGGCCTTGTGCTGGAGGACGGGCTCATTTCATTGTCCACGGTTAGGTGGTTATCAGTGAACCACAGCAGAAGGCCAGGAAGGAAACCAAGACACCCACCCCAACAGTTAGGCCCTCCTCCACAACCACTTCCCTTCTGTGTGTGGATGTGGTGGGCTGGGTGGGCAATATAAGCTTCACCCGGCTCCCTCCACACTCCAGGGCCCTGAGAGAAAGGCCATCCCTGAACATTTGGCTTCTGCCTCTGGACTCACCCGCCTTCAGTTCCATGGGAGGCTTTGAGGGTCATCTGTACCCAGGGCTGTCTCTGTTCCTCTATGGACTTTACCAGGCACAGCTCGTCTCTAGGGCCTTGATCTGCAACTCCCGTGTCCAATATCCACCATGTCGCCCTTGGGACCAAGGAAGATGGGCAAAGCTACGGCAGATCTATTACATTGGCCCCATGAAGATCCTAAGTGCCTTCATTTTAGTAGCCCAAGAGTTGAACAGCGTTCATGGACAGCTGGTTCTTATCAGCAAGATGTATCACCAGAGAGACTTTCTGTACCGCAAACAGTGGCAGCACCTCACTCTCTATTTGACCTTCTTCCTGACGGGGTGTGCAGATACGGTGAGCCAGAACCTGATGCCCCAGAGGTGTGTGGCTCTGGAGCAAGGCACCCAAGCCCTGGGCATATTTCTGTTTCTGCCCCTGATGGTGTCTCACATGCAGGACACAGAAGGAGTAGAACTGCAGTTTCACATCCTGCTCACCCAGGCCATGTTCCTGCTGACGGTGGTAGTGACTGCAGAGCTCTGGGCTCCCAATGCCATGCTGATATGGACAATGAAGGCCTTTTTGTACATGATCACAGGCTCTTGGTTGGTACAGATAGGCTTTATGTTGTTCAAGCCAATCTCTGGCTATAAATGGATGGATGATGACAAAAATGACATAGCGTTTGCCACCACTTTCTTCTGCTGGCATGTGGTCTTCAATGCCAGTTTGATGATCTGGATCTATGGCTTCTCTTTTTTGTGGTATTGCTACATTTTTATTAAAGACTGAACCTGGATGCGCCCCCTGGTAGTGCCCTGTGGCCTTCACACTCCAAGATGCCTGGATGAGAAGCTGTGAGGTGAGCCGCCAGGAAGCAGAACCTGGTGTCCTTCCTTCATGGGGGTCCTACCTTGAAGCTGCAGACTCTGCTGGAATGGATGTGCACCCTCTCCCTTCTGGCTTCCCTCAGCCTTGTTTGAACAGTGCATAGAGGAAAGGTGAACAGAATAAGAGTCCTGCCACTAAGACCTCCTCTCTCAACTCCCCAAGCGTTTCCCTCCTCAGCTCCAGCTATGGTACCTGCTTGCCCTGCACCTCTCTGTATCGCCCACTCCCCTCCCATGAGAACATTAAAGAAATTTTCTATATCCTGCTTTTGAAACTTTTTACAAATATCCCTCACTCCACCACATGGAATATCCACCACAGTCAAATTTAGTACATAATAATAATTTACCCAACATAATAACCACRTTCATTCTTTCTGGTTCTGGATCTCTTTCATGATGATACTATGAAATCATATTTTGACTAAGTAGAATTCAGAACTCATTTTGAGTTCTTTATTTTGATGACTTTGTGATTTATCAAGCAGAAAGTCAGACCCTTTTGCAGCTTCTTGCTCAGTGAGATCTAGAAGAACAGAGCAGCACCCTACTCACAGAGAGGGCTCCAAGGGCTCGACTGCCTCCAGGGGTTCTCCTCTGCACTGCCTCCTCTARTACTATCAGACTCTCCCTCCAGGCATGTCACCCACTGCTCTGCACACTTGGGAATCAAGTTCCAAGTAGTAGATTCGCCAGGACCCACTCTTTTCTGATTCTCCTATATAATAAAATCCAATGACTTATCTCTTCTTGATGCTTTTTTTTTATCCTCACAACTCTCCTGACAGTGAAGTTTGTAGGTGAATATTATCTAAAACTCAAAAGGGTTAAGAAAGTAGCTTAAGGAGGCTAGACATTTTTCTGTGTCACACAATGCCATTGCTGGGTGTCAGGGAGGCTGGAATTGTGAAGGGTAGAGCCAAAGTTATTTGGAACCATAGGCTATCAAGACTTTATCAAGTTTTCCTCACTCATGGCTAAGTGTAAAGCATCTGGTCAGGACAAAGTGGGGCTGGGGCTGGGGCTGGGGCAGGGGAAGGGGGTTCCATCATCCTTCCCATTTCCTTTGTTCTTCTGGTTCCTGGGAGAACTAGATGTGTCCTTTGGTTCTGGTCCTACACTTCCTTGTTAATTTTCTTGTTCAAAAATTAGGGTGCAAAAGGAGTGAGTTGTTGTGAAGGATCTTCACCCTGTGGTTTCGGGGGCTGTGAGCAGCCTGTTATTGTGGAGGGGGAAGGAATCTGGGATCTTTAGATAAGACTCAGCCAGGTCTTAGCATGTGCTGGACATGTGGCATGTGACCAGCTCCGTGGATGGTTCATACCTGCATCAGTGGGATCATCAGGCAACCACATTCCTGTCCAATGGAGACTAACAGAGGACCCAGGTGTGGAAATAAAACATAAGTTAGCTTCTATGCTTCCCCCTCATCCTAGGAACCAATGGGGCTCTGCCCTCTTCCTGGTTATCACTTCTGGTTCCCATACCTTGTTCCCCCGTACCTTGGACATCCTCCCAGGCCTTGGCCCAGCCTCATAGCTCCCCTTCTCTGGCCTGTTTGATCCTCCTCTGGTGCCTTGAAACTGGGGTGACAGGAGATCTGCTTGTCCTCTCTTCTTTCTTTCTTATTGAAATGACAAAAACTCTGTTTTCTTCTCCACTCAAGTCTCCCTCCCTCCCTCCCCACCCCCCCCTTTAAATCTGAAGAGCATATTTTGGATTTTTTTAAACTTTAAAAAATTGACTCTTGCTAATACAACCCAACCTCTTCATGAATTGAAATTTCTGACTAAACAGGAGAAAAGCCACATACAAGGGATGAGAAGTAAGGACTTAATATTAGTATTTCAAGATTTTATCTCCCTGCGAAGATGACAGTTGAAGGGATACAGAAGCTGAAGAACTATCCCATTTTTAGTGCTTTTAAAGTTCTTTTAAATAACTGATGAATTCATCGCTTGTAGAAAATTGATGCCCCCAAATATTATTATGTCTCAAAACATATACCTTCAGGGAAAAATGCTAAATATTAGCAGTATCAGCAGGGGTCTCAAAGCCACAAAGAACCATAGCCAACATGCGATACAGTGGCAGAATAGGCGGGCCTACTGTTCTGACATTAAGGGTTTTTGTGTACCTTGTGTTAATTAGGTATGAGCACTTGGAAATTAATCCTAAACACTTGGGAAAGAAAAACCAGCTGAAGATTAACTTGGGGAAAAACAAAAATCAAAGTCTCCAAATTAGAGTACTTTTTGGAGAGAAAGATGTAGTCTTTCCCACCGTTCACCAGAGGGAGCCATTTCCACATGAGACTGGAAGGGGCACTTCGTCTCCATTTGGTATTGAATTATATCAATTTAAGGGAAGTGATGGAGGGATGGGGAGGAAAGCAGGAAAAGCACATAAGCAGTCAGTAAACATCACCTGCATCTGTTTCCTATTAGGCTCAAATGTGTAGACATGAATAAGCACAGAATTCAATCTATGAGATAGAAGTGTGTGTGTGTATGTGTGTGTGTGTGTGTGTGTGTGTGTGTGTGTGTGTCTCAAAACCTCTGGGTCACTCACTCTCTGACTACCCTTTCTATTTTGGTATTTAAAAAATCATTGTGTGACTTTCAAGAAGAACTGTCTCCTACTGTGGATGCCACAGGGAGTATGATAGTCCCCCTCCTGGCCCTGGTAGTAAGGGCCAACAACCAGACCCTCCTCTCAGAACTTTTCATCTTGAGGAGGAAAATGGGAAGCTCAGTGGAGAATAGTAGCTCTATAAAGGTAAGTATTTTTGACTGGTTTACTCATGGACACATCCAAAACATCTAGAAAATTTTCCATCATACAGGGAAGTGCTCAATAAATAGGGAATTAATTAACAAATAGGAAACTGAAAGAAGCCATTGTGACAGTGAATCAGGTCCAGTATCTGTTTTGCAGCTGTGAGTCAAGACCCTAGAAGCTCTCAAAAGAAAGCATGTTTACCGTGAGGAAGAAAAGTCATATTTTTGCAAGTGTTACTGTTACTCTGTTTCCTAATATTTGCCAAAGAGATCTGCTACCATTTTCAAAGTAACTCCTGGAGTAAGAAGACCCTCCACATTTTGGGAAATCATTTCAACTTGAATCTGATACACCTAGTAAATCTCACAGCTGAGATGTGAAGTCAGGTCTATCTAATTTTAAAAACATTGTTTCCCATGTTTTCCTGATAACAATAATTATCTGGGGTACTTGTAAAACACATAGACTCCTGAGCTCAACCTAGTCCTTCCAACAGAATTTCCAGGGGAAGGACCTGGTAATTTATGTTTTTAACAAGTGCCCCCATAATTCTTATTATCACACAAATTTGGGATACATCTGGTACTCCTCTTTTGGGAACTAGAAGGTTCTAAAAAGGTCACAGGGACATGCAATCATTATGTACTTCAAGCCTCTAGCCAGGAATGTGGGCTTCTGAACCTTACCATTGTTGGTGTGATCATCATTTGGTTGTTAATGTCTCCAACAGTCAGCCTTTTTGAGCTGTGGGGAATGTGGTGGGCAGCACTTAGGGCTAGAGAATAGCTTCACACAGCTTAGTTGAAGACCGGCCTAAGAGCATACCATCTCACAGAATACGAATACATATCGCTACTGTGTGCACCATTAATTTTGGAAGAGACCCATTTTTAAAATAACTTATTCTGCCTCCCTCCCTGCCCCATGGAACAAGGATTTAAGCATTATATAAGCTTCCCAATGTAAGGGACCAGCGAAACGTCGGAGGAAGAGACCACCAAGAGACTGCCTCATGCAACAGCAAAGGGTTTATTTGGGGACCAGCATGCTGGGGCTCAGAGCTCACTTGAATAGAGCAAAGAGAGATAGAGCCCTGAGAACAGCTCAAGCAGAGCTTATATACTTTCCTTGGAGAGGGCAGGGAGGGAAGTTACATTTTGCAATTTGGCAGTTGGGGATAGCACATTCTGGGAACAAGATTAGCAAACAGTTCTTAAGATTTCAACAGTATTTTGTTAAGCATATAGAAAAACGGAGTGACAAGTACCTATTTTATTAACCTTTCAGTGTGACCATCATTTGGTTGTTAATGTCTCCAACAGTCTGCCTTTTTGAGCTGGTGGGGAAGGTAGTGGGCAGCACTTAGGGCTAGAGAGTAGCTTCACACAGCTTAATTGAAGACCAGCCTGAGAGCATACCATCTYACAGAATACGACGAGTACACATCGCTACTGTGTGTGCGCCATTAATTTTGGAAGAGACCACAACTCTATTTCTTTTGCTGAGGTTGTGAGAGCCTTTTCCAAAAGGAGATGATATTCCAAGAAATAAGCTGATATTAAGAACCACCCAGAACTTTACTCTGAATTCCCTCAAGATCTTTGTGTTACAAGGACTAATGGATAAGGTGATAATAGATAGAAGAAATACAGTAGACTATGAGCCCATCTGCGACAAGTAAAACATCAAGAAGATTCTCTTCTCATTTTTAAAATAACAGTATCTGGTCTTTATATATACTAAAGAATATAATAATTTTTTCAAATGTAAGTAATGTTTTATTGGCAATTCATTATTAACATTCCTTTCAACTTTCAAAATCTTATCCCCCCCCCCATGGAACAAGGATTTAAGCATTATATGAGCTTCCCAACAATTCTAGAACTTTATAGAGTTCTTTAAGTCCTCTCATAAGTATAACATTGAACAACTCCATTCTCAAAAGTTTGGGGAAAAAAAGTTTTCTGCCTAAATTATTAGGGTTTATAGGGCTGATGGTCTTTCACTTTTATCAGAAGAGGACCAGAGAAACAAAGAGTGGATGAAAAGATCAAGCATCTGCCTCAAAACCTTTCAGAGACAAGGAAGGTCAAGTCCTTTGAAAGTTGTCTTCAGGGTGCAGAACATCCAGGAGACACTGCTTATTACAATCACCTCTAGTATAACAGTTTACAGGTCCGTGGGAACTGAAGTGAGTCACGCAAAAACATCACCATAAGGTAGGAAAGGATGGAGTACTGAAGAGGGCTTGGACACACTTAGAAAGAACCTGTCAATGCACACAAAAGAGTGTGGACCAAGTCCAGGATGACTCTGGTACATTCAAAGGAATCGGTAAAATCAGGTAAGAAAAAAACTTACCTTCAGATGATGGTCTCCATCAGATATAAGTAGGCCCCCGCCAATGGAACCTGGAACTCCTCAGAAGTGTCACTGTGTGTTCACAAGGGGTGGGTTGCTGTTGACTACAGGCTAATTCTGTTTCTAACCAATCACAGTGGCAGGAAAAGCGAGGCAACATGAGCAACACTGGTGAGTGTCTGAGAGAGACGTCTCCAAGACTGAGCCCCCGAGGCAAACCACTTGCCTTCCCAGTTCACTGGAGTCATCATTGGGGGTACCACAAGTGACCCGTATGGCAGTCATGCCCTTTGTTTTCCTCCTCTTTCTCTCCTGCCCCTTCCTACTTCTGCTACTAGATGTTAAGGATAGGACAGGGCCTTGTTCATGAGACAACTAAGCCTAGAGGAGAGAGTCAAATATAGCTTGGCCCTCCATGTGCCTTACCTCCTCCAGGGAGACGGCTTGCAAGGGGTTTGGGATCATCCAGTGATTTCTCACACCAAGTCAATATTATGATTTGGAATGAGCACAAAAGCCCTTCTCCAATTATTAGGAAGTCTGAATCCAGAACAGAAGAAAATGGCAAAAAAGGAATAAAGAAAATGGGAAGGCAAATGTGGGCAGCCTTGTTCCCTTACCTCGATAAGACTACTTCATGAGTGGTGAGCCCTACCATTAAAGCCTCTCTGGATACCAGAAGTGTATGTAGATAAGGAAAATGATCCATTGAGAAATTTCTGCCAAACCCCACTGTTCGGCTTGCAGACAGTCTCAATAACATACTTATTCAGGAAATGCAAATTAGGCTTTATAAATTACAGAGGAACAAACAAATCCCAGAAGATTAAAGATCAGCTCTTGAAAGAATAAATCGTTCAGCATTTACAGACTTGGATAATGTGCGAACATTTTAAGTGCCTAGGACAGGATGAGAAGACCAATTCGCTCCTCCCAGAGACTCAAAGGAGGAAGATACATCAATGGACAAAACAACATGGCTTGTCAATTGTCGTTGTGTTCCACCACTGTGGTAGATTCTACCATTCTTGGTCACCAAGATAATATGTAAATCAGTTCTTGATGGGTATCTAGTCATTTGTGAAGCTGACAAGAGTTGAAAGGACATTTTAGGCACTGGGAAGGTGAGAACAAAGACATGGAGTTTGAAATTTGAGTATCTACCATATTCGGGAAATAACAGTGCCTTGGTTTTGGCTTGGAAAAGGGAGGCGGCATGGTGTGCAGTGGTGGGAGATGAGCCTAGGAGGCAAAAGTCAGACAGGGTGAAGCTCCGGCACTTAGACTTTACCTTAGGACATTGAGGGGACTTTGAAGAGTTTTAAAAATAGTAACATCAACATATTATGGTGGCAGTGCATGAATGAAGAAGGAAGAGACTGGAACTAGGGAAACCACTTAGAAGACTGATGCAGTAGTCTGAGAGAGAGATGATAAACATCTGAAATAAGAGAATAAACCTATGGAACCAGATTCCAGAAATAAATTCAGGGGAGAAACCATGGAACAGACCACCATTGAATGTGGTGGGGTAAAGAGAAGAGAGATGGAGCAAGAGAGAAGGAGAGAGGAGAAAAGATGAATCTCGGTTTTCTGGATGTAGATAATTGAATAAGTGATGATTACAGTAACTGAGACTGGGAATATAGGAAAGGGGGCATGTTGGGAACCTGGACATTTTGAACATTTTGGAGTTGCTATGGATATGTATGTAGAGAAGTCCCACAGCTCATTGGATATTTACAACTAGAGCCAAAGAGAGAAGTCTGGGCCAGGAACTCAAATTTTGGAATAATTTATGTGTCATAGGATAAATCAGCCAGAGAATGCTCGTAAAAAGAAGAGCAGAGAGCTGGTGAGAGAGACCCAAGAAAGTTCATGTGAAATACAGAACAGAAGAAAATGGAAACACAGAATGAAGAAATGGGGAAGGCAAACATGTGGACAGCACTAAAGGCGGGGGGAGACTATCTGTAGAACAGAAAGCAAGAGTGGCCCCAGCTCCCTGCTCATAGTAGCGTTTGATTGTCTGGGTTTCTATTTCTATTATTCAAAGGCCTTGATCACTTGGTGTAATCAGGAAAGGTGACGGAGGTAAACGGTCTTCTCATGTTACCAAAACTGCACTGTAGTGACGGTGGAGGGTGGCACTCACCTCACCAAACCCTTAACTAGACTGATAGTCTACTGTACCAGATTTCGATTGTTGGTTTTATAGTCTTTTATTATGAACTTTGGGTATGATGGATATGGCCCATTAGTTGCCAATTATCTTGTTACTCACTAGTTGAACATTGGGCTCTAAAGAGTGTAGACAATGAATTGGAATACACTTAGGTCCCTAGTCCACTGAGGGTCTCCATGTTTAGTTTTTCTTGACATTCAATATATCCTCTGACTAACTTAGACAAAATAATAATCAAACCTGAGAATTTAATAAATACACTGCACCACCAAACCAAGATTCAGGAAAGCTCTTACCAGCTTGTAACGCTGGGCCCAAACTCACCAGCTGAAATTTGACTGCAGCACAAGTAAATTCCTGCCCCTGGTTTCTGACAGTGATTCTATTAAATAAAGTGTGGTGGAGCTAAGGGTGCAGTGTGAGAGCTCCCAAGCTGGCTCCGTTTCAGGCCACACTAATGCAACATGCCACATGGGCAATAGTTCACTTCTCCTCTGCCCTGGGAAGCAACTGCAGGGCTTGGGTTGTGGGTGCCATTCCCACCCACGAGAGAGGAGCCTGATGGAAAGGAGGCCACATGAGGAGGAACAGGCTGAAGAACTTAGTGACCAGGCAGAGAGGCTGGAAGTAAGCCCGAGGCTGTGATGTCTTTATAAATATTGGAAGCGCTGTCTTATGTAAGAGGACTTGGATGAATTGTAGAATTTCCCAAAATAGAAGGCAGTTCACTGTAAGAAAAAACTTCCTAATGTTTTCTCTCTTCACAAATGGAATGGGCAGCCCTGTGAGGCTGTGCGCTCCCTCAGCTGGGAGTATATAAGCAGGTGACATGGGAGAGTCCTGGAGAAGCGGAAGCTGAGTGGATGACCCTAATGGAGGTCATCGGGCTGAGATTCAGCCATGGGAAATTATCTTGTTTTCCCAACATGAATGCAGTCCTGGTCATGGGTTTTGTTTTGTTTTGTTTTTTCTCTCCCCATACAGAGATACTCCGTTCTACAAATCTTATAATTCTGCTGAAGGATGAAATCTTTGCCGATTTTTTCAATACATTTCTTTCTCTCCCGGTAAGCATTGTCAGACTTAAGTTCAAATGTTTTATTGACAGCTGAATAATAAACCTCACTKAGCTCAGTGCCCTTTTGTTATTTTCGTTGTTTACTAAGTTCCTTATCAAATGCAAACTTTTCCAACTTGAGCCAATAAATATGAACCAGAACCCCCTCTACAATCTCCGGGAGCTCCCTAATATGAATACAACCAAGTTTTCAAGGCTCAGCCTCCTTAACTGCCTCTTAACTGTCCAGAGTCACCTCCCCTCACATCAGCGGCTGATCCCCAGTGCTCTTGTGACCGCCATTTTACACTGGCTGAGTGCACCCGCCGTCCCCCACCTCCAAACCTCTCTTCCAATCTCAGCTTAAATTCTGTTCTTCTTAGGGAATTCCTAGGCCCTCACACTGGGACCTCCTGGTGGAACTTCTCCTGCCTGTCTTCCCCTTGGCAATTGGCAGCTGTCTTGTGTTGCCTGTGTACACATATCTGTGTCCCACTGGAGTGTGAGATTGTGAATTCCCTCAGGACAAGGACTAAGGATTATTCATTCTGTTCTACTCCCCTTACCAGGTGTTTAGCATGCAGCCTTTAAGTTGTGGACTAAAACCAAACTGTATGTCCTTGGGCTATGTAACTTAGACAAACTTCAAAATCCAACTCAAACCCAAACCTGGGMTCATCCTACATCTTTTTTTGGATTAAATTTTTGATGACATTTTAATGCTGGCATCTTATAAATTGTGGTTCATTTTAGTGAACGCCCTTTCCCACTGGATGTCATCTGTTAAAAGGTGAAATTTCAGACAAGCGGAGAAACCACTGTATTATCTCAGTTGCTGAGTGGTTACTCCGTACCAGCCACTGGGATTAGTTTTGGGGATGTACATATTAATGCTCCATCCCTGTCCTCAAGGAGCTCTCAGTCAAATCTGAGGAGTGGATATCTGAGAACTGACTGGGGGCAGAAGGTGGAGCAGGAGGGATGGATAAAGAAGTGGGGGGAAAGACTAGGGGGTTGAGTAGCAAAAAAAGGCCTCACAGACAGAGGAGAGAAAGTAAGGTGGCAGCGGCCAACAGGATTTGAAAAGGAGGGAGGAGGAAGAGGGATCTCCAGGAGTGGGGCTTTCAGGTGATCCTCATACACGCTAATGCCTTTGCCACTGTCTTAATGAAAGCTTTCCTGAGTCAATTTTTTTTTGTACCAGGGATTGAACCCAGGGGCACTTAATCACTGAGCCACATCCCAGCCCTTTTTATTTTTTATTTTGAGACAGGGTCTCACTAAATTGCTTAGGGCCTAAGTTACTGAGGCCGGCCTTGAACTTGCCATCCTCCTGCCTCAGGCTCTTGAGCTGCTGGGACCTAAGTAATCTTAAGACACATTAATCACCCAATTTATGAAGACAAGTTTCTAGAAACAGAGTGATGTGGGAAGGTGGCATTCCGGCCAAGAGTGTAAGATGAAGTCCKGGCCATTTTGGCAGCTGTGGTATACGGAGAGACAGTCGTGTTTATCGTGTCAAACACTCCTGTCAACATGTCTACCATTTAATTCCCATGGTTTCCCTGTGATATAAGCATAGAAGCCTTTTCCCATCAGTTCCTAGATGATAATCCTTCCCCCAGGCTCGACAACAGAGAATAGTAGCTTAGAATTGATGCTCTCAAAGCCTCAACATGTAATTTTTACCCCTAGATCTCCTCATATCTTCAGCCCTCTCTACTTTCTCCAGTTCAAGAGTTTAGGTAAATCCAAAGCTACTTCTCATTAGGAAAAGGTCTTAGAACTTGGCTTGAGCTCTCTAAGTTCATGAGGGAAGGGGATGATGCAACCCACAGCGTAAGGTGTTCTCATATCAAGGGCTTTTGGCTTTGCACATAAGCAATAGCCCCCAGGCCTAGGCAGGATGCAGTCAAAAGATGAATGAATATTGCAATTCTCTCTATTCGAAGTCTTTTTGTGCAGGGTACGTTGATCCGGTGTTGCAAATTTAAGAATTAATGTCCCTTCAAATAGGAAAACAGCAGAGCCTCTCTTCCTCTGTGGCCGCAGGAGCATGTCATGAATATGAAGAGAAGCTCTTGCTCTTTGGCTGTTTCCTAGCTTTCTTTTACAGGTCTTTGGTCAGACCCCATTTTATCTTGTTGAAAAATCACAGTGGAACTTGTGGCCAGAAATACCTCGCGACTTGGTGAGTAGGAGCCTAGGATGGCAGAGGGTTTGGGGCCGAGGAAGAGAGAGAGTTGTATTTGAAGCATGGATTGGGAGAGAGAAGGGAAGAAGGAGATTRGAGAACGAGTGTAAGAAACCAGAAAGCAGGTGAGTAGAAAAAACAGCATCAAGCCAGGTAAACGTTTCACACTCTCACCTTGGGCAAGCAATTTCTGGTGAATTCTTTCCTTTATATTCTAGTCCATTATTAGCAATTGGAATTCATCTCTCATGTCTACTGTGATTGGGGATAGTAGATGTTTGAAATACTAGGCTGAGAAAAACCTTGAGCCACATTTAAGCAAAAAGAGCCCAGGAATTGATTGGCAATGGCTGCATTGGGTGGGATACGAAGYGGCCATCTCTAGTCCACACAGGTATGATCAGATACACATTATCAGATACAGATCAAGGTAAGGTGCCAATCTGCAGTTCTCTTCCAGAGGCAAGTTTTTCCTCTTCATCTTTTTTCTCTTCATATATTTCTTTTCCTATTCCTTCTAGATTGTCTTTCTCTTCACCTTGTTTCCCCTTTCTTCTTCCCAAGACTTAGATCAGCCTGTGGCTTCCATGTGCATTACCAGTGGTTTGTGGATCAGAAAAGTCACYCTAAGCTCTGCTCATAATAAGCCTTGTTTTTCTCTGAGTTACTAAGAGAAGATACCCTACTCCAATTCTTACATTTGGTTTCCCTAAAATAACTATGAAGCTTAAATTGTTAAAATCTGTCCTCCCTCCTCCAGCGGTTCCATGTCTCAGGGATCCCTTCTGTACTCTAAATGGTCTGCATGTGTTTTTGTACATGTTGTACAATTGATAAGGGTGGAGGCTTGTAAGAAATAATGTGTGTTTACAAAACAAGTTAAATAGAGTAGTTAAATAGAGTTTATGACCTGACACCATAAACTGAGACCTTTTCTGATTCTTTTCTGTAAATCAAGACTTAGATCTTTTCTGGAAGAAATTCACCCAGAAATATGGAAGAATTTTTGAAGAAAGACCAAACTTGTTAATCCATACGGGTCCATACATTTCTTTAGGAGCTTCATCTTGTGTTTCCACTGAACTTAGGATTTTTAATCCACACACCTCTACTTCCAGTCAGATACTGCCAAGTGTGAGGTTATTTATCACCACTTTCTAAGCAGCATTTCTTAACTGTTAAATTTCATTTATCTTTCTGTTGCTATTTTGATTTTTCTCTAGATTGCCAAATACAAAGGACTATTGACCTGGTTGGAAAAATATCGGTTACCTTTCTTCTGCAAAACAAACTTGTGTTTCAATTACATTCTCTGTCAGGAATTAATCAGTTTCATTAAGTCTGAAGAAGGAGGTAAACAGAATGTGTGTGTGTGTGTGTGTGTGTGTGTGTGTGTGTGTGTATTGTGTAGAAATATGGGAAGCCATATTATATAATGATCCTATGCCTGCCAGTAGGATAAAAATACCAGCTGAATTTTGTACATTTTGTAAATATGTGAGTGGTCCAACCTATGTGTAGCAATAGGTTAAATCTTGGGCTGAAAAACTGGTACCTGGAGCAATAATCAGGAGTCATGTGGGATAGTCTATTTATCTCACTGTAGTCAGAAACTACACAATGGTCATAAAGTATGAAAAAATTGCCTAACATATGTACAGAATCAAACACATCTTACCACCTTCATTATTATCATTTGTTCTAAATCACCATCATTATTTCTTAACTGGTACTGGAATCATCTCAATCTCCTTAACTTTACTCTTGCTCTCCTGCTCACAGCAACCAGAGAAAGCCTTTTAAAGCATAATTTTGGGGAAGAGAGTGAGAGGATTGTAGGATGATGGCTAATTAGGAAGCACTGGTAATCTCTTCCCATACCTGGGTAAGAATTACACTGACMGAATCTATATGATGTTCCTATTCTGGAGCCCGTTGAGGCTCACAACTTTCAGGGAAAGGCTCAAACAGTAAATTGTACAGCTCTTAGCGTGGTAGCAGCTGCCCATCTCCAAGCACCAGCTCCATGGCTGACAGCTGTCACAGTCTCAGCCCACAGAGAGGCTTGGACACAGGTTGTGAGGGTCRCAAAATCAGAGAAGACCCCCAAATAGACAGGATCTGTGTGCTATTTGCTTCTTCTGATCACAGAGGTCCACAGACACCTGCAGCCATTTCTGTTTTACCTCTCCATTGCTATAAGCCCTTCGCCATCTACTGATGTAATTTCAGCCTTGGAGGGTCTAGTCCCTCTTTTATTTTTCATTTTTCCCCCTTTTTGGAGTCAGAGATTAAGAACTAGAACATTTAAAAGAAACTAATTAGAAAATAATCAATGATACCTAGGGAAAGGCACTAGTTCAAAAAAGACATGCAAAGACCTAAGTTTATACCTCAAACTTATCTTGACACAGAAATATCTTGCAGCAATTAATTTTTTTCCCTCAAATAAATAAAATAAATAACAAAACCAGAAAACTCTGGGCAAGGCGGGGGGGGGGCAGATTCTGATTTCCAGAGTTGCACATTATTAGATTCAAATGTCAAAATTTTAACAAAAAGTCACAAGGCGTACAATGAAACAGGAAAGTATGGTCCATTTCATGGAAAAATAAGACAAAAGAAACTGTTCTGCAAAAAGATCTGATGACAGATATACTAGACAAAGACTTTAAAACAATTGCCTTTAAGCTACTCCAAGAACTAAAGAACAATATAGGAAAAGTTCAGAAAATGACATGTAAACAAAACAGAAATTTCAATGAAAAGATAGAAAAGCCAAAAAGAAACCAAAGAGAAAAACAGAAATGAAAAATTCAGTAGAGGGAATCAGTGAATAGAATGGACTAGAACAGATTTAAGAAAGAATCAGTAAACCTGAAGATAGGTCAGAGGAAATTATGAAATCAGAGGAACAAAAGAAAAGATACTAAAGAAAGTGAACAGTCTCCCAGGGACCTGTGGGACACAATCTAGCACACCAGAATATGCATTTAAGGTGTTCTAGACAAGAAAAGAAGGAAGAGATAATATTTAAAGAATAATGGCTGAAAACTTCCCAACTTGATGAAAAACATGAATATAAACATCAAGAAGCTCAGTTAACTTTTAGAAAGATGAACTCTAAGATACTCACACYAAGACACATAATAATAAAATTTTGAAAGGCAAAAACAAAGAATCTTAAAGGCAGCAAGGAAGGAATAACTTGTCATTTATAAGTGGATTTCATATGATTATTAGTGGATTTATAATCCAGAAACTTTGGAGCCCCAAAGGCAAGTGGGCTTGTATATTACATTTCCAAAAGAAAAATCCAAGTAGTCAATAATTCTATGTCTGGCAAAACTGTCCTTCAAAAGTGAACCAAATGATTGAGCAATTTAACTCCTGGGTATAAACTCAAAAGAATTGAAAGTAGGGTTTCAAAGATTTTTTTTGTGGGGTACCAGTGAATTAACCCAGGGGCACTTAACCACTGAGCCACATCCCCAGCCCTTTCTATTTTTTTATTTTGAGACAGGGTCATACTAAGTTGCTTAGGGCCTCATTAAATTGCTGAGGCTGGCTTTGAACCAGGGATCCTCCTTCTGCCTCAGTCTCCTGAGCCTCTGAGATTATAGGCATGCACCACTATGCCCAACTCAGAGATATYTGTAAACCCATGTTCATAGCAGCATTCTCTACATAGCAAAAAATGTGGAAACAACTATGTGTCCATCAACAGATAGATAAGCAAAAATGTTACATACATACAATGGAATATTGTGCTGCCTTAAAAAGAAAATTCTGACATATGCTACMATATGGATGAAATTTGAGGACATTGTGCTGAGAAAAAAGACAAATACTGTTTGATTCCATTACATGAAGAATGTACAATAGTCAAAATCAGACACAGGAAGGAGGAGGATGATTGTCAGGTGCTGGGAGGAGGAGGAAATGAGGAGTTATTGTTTAATGGATGCAGAGTTTCAGTTTTACAAGAAGAAGAGTGTTTTGGAGATGGGAGGTGGTGATGGTTGCACAACTTTATGAATCCACTTAATAACAMTGAACCATATATTTAAAAAGAGTGAAAATGGTAAATTTTATGTTAGATGTATTTTACTATAATAAAAAATTGGGAGGAGGGAATRTACTTCAAATTATGTTTCTCCTCCACTCTGCCTGCACTTTCCCCCACACATACCACCAGTGGCTCCTGTCTCAGTGACCTTCTGGGTGTGAGAGGCCTGGCTCCGTTTCCTCTCTGACCGMATCTCCTCCTATTCTCACCACCCCCATTCACTCCATTCCAGCCACCTTGACCTCCTTGCAATTTATCCAACATACAGGACACTTACCACTTCAAGCCTTTCCACTGGCTGTTCCCTCTACCTGGATGCTCCTCCAGATGTCCCCATGGCTCCCTGTCACCTCCTCATGTGCCCATGCAAATCCTATCCCCTCAATAAAAGCTACTCTGACCATAGATCCTATGTGATACTACCTTGTTCCCATCATCCCAACTGTGCCCCCAGAACTCCCAATCTCCTCTACCTTGCTCTGCTCTTCCTTTTTTTTCTATGGTGTTTGTAACCTTTAATCTTAGTAGAGAAAGCATTTACTCATCATGCTTATTGCTTATTGTCTCTTTCACAAGAATATAAGCTCCTGGGATTTTTGTTCTGTGCTATTGTATCTAAATCACCTAGAATGGTATCTGGCACTTAGTAGGCATGTAATGAATATTTGTGGAAGGAATGAATGAACAAAATTTCCATCTGGGGTTACATTGGTAAATTTTGACTCACTAACCAAAGGAAATTAAYGATGCGCTACCACGACAAAGTTAAGGTCCAGGAGCATCCATGGAGGAAAACATTATAACAAATCCCCCTCTCAACCACCCTTTCATTATATATAGACATTTGTAAAGGTGGATGAAAATGTGCCCTGAGGGCAAGATCATGGTCAAGTGGAGACTGTACGGGGAGGTGCCTTGGGTGGAGGGTGGACTGTGTGCTTGTCTGTGGGAACCACATGTCACTTGACCCATGTCACTAGATGGTATGGTGCCTAATTTCAAAAGCACTCCATTGTCAGGACCCCACTCCCTAACTGGCCACCATTTTTCTTTACTCACACTGAGCAAATGGGCGTCTGCTGTGTGCAAGGCTGAGAGAGAGARRCAGGGGAAGAGCTCATTCTCCCTCTTACCATGGACTTTTTCTGGCAGCCAAGATGATGAGATGGAAGAYGGCAGACCAGTGGCTACTGGAGAAATGCATTGGCGGAGTCAGAGGGATGTGGCGCTTCTGCTCCTACCTCAAGGGCAGCGCAGGTGGGTTCTTGAATTTGTCCCTTCAAGTTGTCTTGGATCATTCTTAATAGTTCTCTGGTTGTCCTGGATCTCCCATTGACAGCTATGAGTGTCTATGGGAAATATAAGAAGTGTTTAATAATACAGTTTGGGTAAAAATCCAGTACAACTGGGATCCATAGTAGAGGTAAAAGCAGTCAGGGTCCCTTGCGTTCATTCATTCATTCTCTTAACATTTATTTATTGGGCATTGTTTGTGGCAGCCTGTGGGCTAGTAGATTGGGATTTAAAGACGAACAAGAGCCCTGCGGGGCTTTATAAAACTGCGACTGGGGTGGGGAAATAGGGAACAAAAGGTGAACATGTGGGAAATCTCTGCTTTCTCTTCTGGGGTGTCTGGTRATTTCTGGGAGCTGGGAAGCTGGAAATGTCTGCTCTGGCAGACACTCCAGTTCATCAGGGCTAAGTTAAACTAGSAACAGGTCCTAGTTTTCAGGGTGAAACCCTGGGTCTCCAGGTAAAGAAGAAGTAGGACAGGCTATATCTTTCCGTTTGCCAATCAGCTTGGCTCTTGCAAAGTTGTAAAATAGAGAATGTGGGTCTTTGGTGACTTTTGACCCCAGCGTCTTTCTGCAGGCTGTTCACGGTGTCCAGGATCTAGGAAATGCTCTTTTTCCTCTGATCTTCATTTTTTGGGGGCAAAACTATCTCAGGATTCATACTCAGAGTCTTGTAGTTTTCCCTGAAGTGATAGTTTTTCTAGTAAGAGCAATAACAACAAGAAGTCACAWAGGACCACTACCCATTAAGTCCCTTCTCCCCATGCTCTCATCCTCCCCCACACTAGGACTTTTCTGGAGATGATGTCTTACCCTGAGGAATTACTAATGATGCAGCCRAACAGGCTGATGGGGGGCGGGGGTACAAGTGGCTTCACCCAGAAGCAACTACCAAAGTGTCAAGATTAGGCAGCTCCAAGCCCATCCTGTCTGATCTGTAGGTGAAGAGTTGGTGGATTTCTGGATCCTTGCTGAGAAGATCCTGAGCATCGATGAGATGGACCTGAAAAAGAGAGACTACTACCTGTCCCTCCTTCTCATGCTGAAGGCCAACCATCTGCAGTCGGGGTCCAGGGTAGTCAAGCTCTGCAACGTGAACATCAGTAAGRATTATAAAGCATATTTGAAGTGAAATTCTTGGAGGATGGAAACAAAAAACCAATCCAGTGTCTAGGAGCCCCTAGTCTTTTGCTTTTCAGACTGCCACCCTCTCTATCTGCTTTGGTATCARGAATGGCGGTGGGAACCCCAACCCTTAACTGGGGAAAGATTGAAAGAGACCAGCCGTCCTTGGGTAGTCTGGTGCTTGCCTCTTCCTGAGATATTACCCGCCAGTGCAGGGTGGGTGGAAGGAGTGAAGATGGATTGGAACAGGGTAATTGAAAAGTCCCTGTATCTTCTGAGCCTGCACAGCTCTCCCTTGGATTCTCTAGAACAAATTACAGCCCATGGGCCAAAGAGCAGTGTATGTGCCCATAGGCAAAGAATGTTTTTAATTTTCAAAGGGTTTTGAAAAAGAAGAAGACGATTATGCAACCAAAACTGTATGTGGTTCCCAAAGCCCAAGATGTTTACTATCTGGCCCTCTACATAAAAAGTCTGTCAACCTTCTCTTTAGAACATCAGATCCATCCATGTTTATTTGTTTGCTAAATAAGAAAGCATTTCAAATCGAAATATCAATGTGTTCTAGAAGATCTGCTGCTTGGGATTAGCCATACTTTTTTCTATTCATCTAGATAATTGAAAAATTGACAACATTAAAATGTCCAGGCTAGTGAGGGCTATTATGTGAAAGATTTGATTCTTTCAAATTATCCAACCCAAACCCTTTCCATTGGTCATCTCGGATCCTGAAGAATGACGTTCAGATATGTGTATCATTGTTCTTAATGATCTTTTCTTGTACTTTTTGCTTTTCTTTACAGTAACATTCAGTAGTCTAAACATTATTCAAGAAATCTCATAATATGCCTCATTTCTATGGGAAAGAAGAAAGATAATCAGAGAAAAAGGTCACTGTGTACTGAGAAAAMCCTAAAAATGGGTCCACTGTATGTCTTCCCTATCCAGCTTTCAGAATTCTGTGAGGAGCTAATGTAAGGCTAAATACAAAGACCTTCCTCATCACCACCACATCATTTTCACCTTCTTCTATGTTCTTTCCAGACTCCCTCCTGAACCTCTCCATCTGGCATCCCAACCAGTCAACCACCAGAAGGGAGACCCTGAGCCACATGCAGAAAGTGGCTCTGTTCAAAGTCCAGAGCTACTGGCTCCCCAACTTCTACACCCACGCCAAGGTGGCAATGGCCAGCGAGGAGGCCTGCCAGGGCCTGATGCAGGAGTATGAGACTCGCCTGTACAGCGTTTGCCACACCCACTCGGGAGAACTCCCTCTGAACATGAGCATCAGGAAGAGTTTCCACTGCCAAAAACAGTACTCAAGCAAGAAGGCCAGGAGGAGGATGTGGCACATGGCAGAAACGGACCCTCGCTTTCTGGAATCCAGTCCCAAGCCGGATAGCAGGACTATGCCTACACAGGAGATGAGTTCTCAGAAGATGGTGACACAGATGTCTTCCCTGACAACAGTGGCTTCTTCAAAGGAGTCAATAATCAGTTCCTTAGAAAATGATGATCCCTGTGCTAAGAAGTTCGCTATGAAGAAATCCAAGGGCCACCTCCTCATGRAGGGCCTCTTTGAGACAAGGTTTTCCACCCAAATGAGGACTTCCACCCCTATCATTAATTATTCTTCACAGATGACAATCCACAAGGCCATGAGGAAAAGCCTCCCCCTGGGGTACACATATTGGGCCCTGTGTGCTGACATCCATGCAGGGAGTCCCTTCCGGCACTACCTAAAGAAGATGAAATTGAAAGTGGAGAGACAACTCCTGGACCTGTGGCAGGACCTACACCATTTCCTGCGTGTTCTGATGAATAACAGGAATAATGGAAATGCCATCTTTCGTCACATGCTGGGTCACAGGATCTGTGAGCTCTACTTGAATGAGCAGCTTGGTCCACGCTTACCACTCAAATCTCAGACCATTCAAGGCCTGAAAAAGCTGCTGTCTTCCGGGGATGTGACCCCCTGGATTCCCAAAGCCCAGAGGGAAATTTGCAAGGTAAGCTTTGCCTCAAAGAAATGAGTTAATTTCTGCAGATCAAGTCAAGACTGACCAAACTCCCTACCTGGTCATCTGTACTTGCTAGGTTAATTATATCTACCCACATAAATCTGCATATATTGAAAAGCTGCTTAACCTCTTAAGGCACAAGTTTTGCAAGTTTCCATGAACCAGAAAAAACTCTCAAGTAGAATGGAACGGGGAGGGGGAGTGGTCAGTATCCACCTTYACTTCCTTATTTTCAGTCTTCCAAAACCATGAAAATCAGGATATTTTAAAGATAAGTTTTACTAAATCTCTTATGCACGTTATATATTGAAAAGTGGGATCCTCCTTTCCTAAACTAGCTACCAAGGAGATAACCAATTGGGAGGAATGACTTATTACCAAAACATTACATAAAAGCAAAGGAATAGCCAGGTGTGGTGGCACACACCTGTGATCCCAGGAGCCCAGGAGTCTGAGACAGGAGGWCTGCAAATGCAAAGCCAGCCTCAGCAAAAGCGAGGCACTAAGCAATTCAGTGAGACCCTATCTCTAAATAAAATACAAAATGGGGCTGCAGATGTGGTTGAGTGCCCCTGAGTTCAATCCCCAGTACAAAAAAAAAAAAAAAAAAAAGCAAAGGAATATCCTGAATAAAAAAAGTGAGGCCCATGATTATTGTGTCATCAGATGCTTGGCAAAAAACAAATTGGAAAAGTCAAGTTGGATAACAGATGAGAGCCAAATAAAAGGGTCTGCTTACAGAGCAGTGGATGGGGTGGGGAGACCACAGAGACAGCACAATACCTTCCACAAAGTTGTTAAGGATGGGGCACCTTTATTATTCCTGAAGAACTAAAGAACTGAGGAGAGGGAGCAGTTACTAGAATCAGGAGGGAACAACTGTATGGAGTGAGACACAGCAGTGTCTCCTTTAAGGTAGTGATCCCTTAAGGGACGTAGCGTCCACACTGATCCAGAGGGAATCTTCTGCTTTCCTATTTCCTGCCAGGACACCTCATGAGGTGAACCCAATCAGAGGATAAGAGAGCCTGCTGGTATCCATACAGGTTAATCTGCTAAGGTACAGCAGGATAAACGGTAGCAAGAAGCAAAAATAAATATAAACATGTGATTATTTAGTGCTTATAATGCTTTTGCCTTATAAGTCACATGCAYGTACCTTGTCTCCTTCTGAGTCTTAGCAACTCCAAGGGCAGGCAGCATTGTATTGTTGTCTTTGTTCTACAGATGAGGAAGCTGAGACTCAGAAAGGCTAAGTAATTAGGCTATTAGTACGTAAGTAAATTAGCCTAATGAGTACATGACTGGCTGGTAGATGAATCAGGATCAGAACTCAGATGTTCTTAGTGTTTATGTCCTTCTTGATTTCCAACACATTATGATTATCTGGGATGGACAGCCAGGTAGTATCAGGCCAGAGCAGTTCAGTAGATCCACAACTGTAGCTTTCCTAAGCCCAGTTCTTGGTTAAGGAAACACTAGAAGCCTCCCTGTGTTTTGTGGAGTAGGGTCAGAGGATCAGATTAGGACTATATTTCCTGGATTAGCAAACTTTCACTGTAAAGCCCCCTACCTGCAAAATATTGAAGGTATTGGTAAATAGGTAAGTTGAACTATCACAGTTTCTCAGACTAAAAATCTTGATATCATCCTTGATCCACTTCCTCCTTTCACACCCAAGTCTAACAGATTGGTGAATCCTGTTGTCTCAGCCTTAAAAATCTATCCAGAAGTCCACCACTCCTCCCTCCCCTTGTTAGAACAACTCTCATTCTCAGCAACAGAGTAAGGTGTTCCTTAGACACTGGCAGAGATATGTGAGAAGTCAATTAGGATGACAAGTAATTAAACAAAAAGTTTCTTAATTAGATAAAGAGAGAATYTGGGCTAGGGTTGTGGCTCAGTGGTAGAGCACTCGCCTAGCATGTGTGAGGCACTGGGTTTGATCCTCAGCACCACATWAAAAAATAAAATAAAATAAAGGTATTGTGTCCATCTACAACTAAAAAAAATTTTAAAAGACGGAATCTAACAGAAAGATTTAGAGGTTGCTAAGAGATTCGAGGAGGAAAATGGGGAGTACCTTCTTAGAGGTTAYAGAGTTTCTGTTAGGGGTGATGAAAAATTTTTGGAAAAAGAAATGATTGTACATATATTGTACATATAATTAATGTAACTGAAYCATACACTTCAAATAGTTAATATGGCAAATTTTGTGTTATGTATATTTTACCATGATTTTAAAAACTTTAAAAAAATCAAGACTAAAGATACAAAGAACACTAAGACTTAATGAGAAGGGGCAGACAGAGGTGARTTTCAATTGTAACATTTCCACTTTCGAAATTTGGTCTTAGGTAGAAGGTTGCTGTGCACTTCTGATCCTTGATTTCCTCATCAGTATATCAGGGGTCATATGACTCCCTTTAATAAAAACACTATGTGTACAATGTCCAGCAAGTAGTATGGACACAAATATTTATTCTTTTCCAACCCCTTTTCAGACCCATTGAAACTTAGACCAAGACAGGGCCTTGTGAGGTTCTCACATCCTCCTTTTCACAATACACAGACAGTAGACCAAGACCAAAGGCCTCTCTGTGAAGTACTGACGGTGCTGGGCCAGTGAMCAAACTCCTGCTCAGTCTATTACAAGGTTAGCACACTGTAACCCAGAAGCCAAGTTCAGTTTACCATCTGTACTTGCATGGCCAGCAAACTACAAGATTGGTTGTACATATTTTAAATGGTTGAAACATATCGAAAGAGAAATGTCACATGACAGATATCATATAACAATCATATTTCAGCGTCCACAAATAAAGTTTTATGGCAACACAACTATGCCCATTTGTTTACACGTTGTCACGTGCTACAACTGCAGAGCTGAGTACTTCCAACAGAGACCAGAGAGCCCACAAAAAGTGAAACAAAAAGTGCTTCTTGGTCTGTCACATCACACACTGTTCTGAGGAGGGGCCAGGAAAGTTTATCAAGAAACTATAATACATCATAACAAAAACAATGATAAAGCTGGGCGCAGTGGCACACGCCTGTAATCCCTGCAGCTCAGGAGGCTGAGACAGGAGGTTCTCGAGTTCAAAGCCAGTCTCAGCAAAAAAAAAGAGGCACTAAGCAACTCAGTGAAACCTTATCTCTAAATAAAATTAAAAAATAGGGCTGGGGATATGGTTCAGTGGTCAAGTGCCCCTGAGTTCAATCCCCAGTACCAAAAAAGAAAAAAGAAAAAAAAAAAAAGAAAGAAAGAAACAATGATAAGGTTTTAAATAGTGTTTATTATTTTTATTATCCATTACTGTTATTTTGCTGGATATATGATTATCTTTTCAATGAAAAATTCTCTACTAAGTATAACTTCTTAAACCAATTTGATGATTTAGTTATTAGTTATTATACTCAGAAATCTTGTAAAACGGAAGGATCATTAATAGAGTATTCATTTCACACTCTCTTTCACCATTCATATTCAATATATATTTAGAGCTTATTCATTAATCAGTGGCATTATATTACATTATATGTTGCCAGGATTCAATAAGTGAGCTGTGTTTGCTCAGGAATATACTTTAGTTCCCCAAGAACTCAGATCTGTTACATGATTATATCACTTTTTAAGTGTATATCTATTGCTATCCTTTGAGACTTAAAATTAGAGCTGCTATGTTCAGAGCAATACAGGAAAGCCYGTTGGCTGGTCATAGCTGATGTGCAGTGCTTTCAGATCTCTAATTTGGAGACTCGGGGAATCTGCATGCAGCACAATTGCTCCATGAGGACACAAAACAGAAAGAGGCAGCAAGCTGAGCATCACCTCCTAATACCTGTGTTGTGTTTGGATTTCAGATACTCAGCCCCTGCTATAATGAGTTCCTGAATGAAGAGGACTACTGGTTTCTCGTTTTTACAGTAGGAGGGACTTTGGGTTGAGGAGGAATTGTGGGATTGAGGAAAGAGGAGGCTTATTTGGTTAAGGAACAGGAGAAGGAGTTTTTAGAAGGCTTGTTTGTTAAAGTAAATGAAATTAGGATTTATTCCTGGAGGCAACTGGAGATTGGCTTAGTCCCTGATATTCTAAAGATAAGCCACTCAAGGAAAAAGATTCAGAACAAAGCTGACTTTGAAAGAGTCACATTCATTTGGAAAATTTTCCCTATGGAAAAATGGGTTTGATTAAAAGAGGGTGCSGGTTAGTGTGTAAAAGAGCACTGGCTCTTAATGTATTGAAGACAATCAGCATAAGGTTATGTAATAGGGAGATAAGGAGGACTGAGTTATTACAAAACTCTTGCTTCTGGTCTAATCCCTATGTAAAATGCTGCCTGCTCCCCACCCTCTGCTCCCTCTCTTAGACTCAGACACGGTTCATCAAAAACCGGTGCCATAGAAGAAAATCTATAAGCAAAGAAGAGAACATTCTTCTTTATAAGAGGATGCAGAAATCTCTGGAGTTAACCCAGGCCTTGGCTAACATGGAGAAAATGGATTCGATGCAGTGGCCAAGCGTAGCGACTGAGAACCTACGCCAAGCTGGGTCTCTSCAGGTAGAACTGCAGTCTCCAGTGTTTCTGGAAGGTAAGATGTCACTGGGGCTTGTTTGTTGTTGTTGTTGTTTGTTTGTTTGTTTGTGTTTGTTTTTTTTTTTTAACTCTTCTAGGAAACTGGAAAATTATAATTATTTAACATTTAGTGATTATTTCCTGTGTGTCAGCACTGTAGGATACAAAAATTACCACATTTGATCTTTAAATTACTTAGTTAATTACTAAGTAACTGAGGCCCAGAGAGGATGATCTCCCCAAGGTCACAACCTCCCTGACAGAGGCCAGATTTGAATTCTGACAGACTGCTGCGCCCCCTAGTGGATCTGAGGAAGCCAAAGCGCTCAAGGTGGGGCAGGCTCCTGCCCCTTYAAGCATCGCCACTGTTATTACCATTGAACCCTTAGGCTTTTGTAAATGCCACTCACTGGTGAGCTTGGGCAAGTTACTACAGCTTTCTGAACCTCATTTATGCAGCTATAGAGTGGGATAAAGTCCTGTGGTTTAGTGATCATTGAGAATATTAGTGGTAATAAAAGAAAGCAGGTGCTCAGTTGGGCACAGTGGCACTCACCTGTAATCCCGGCAACTCGCAGGTCTGAAGCAGGAGGATTTCAAGTTCAAAGCCAGCCTCAGAAACTTAGTGAGGCCCTAAGCAACTAAGTGAGACCCTGTCTCAAAATAAAATATAAAAAAAGGGATGGGGCTGTGCTCAGTGGTTAAGCACCCCTGAGTTCAATCCCCAGTACCAAAAAAAAAAAAAAAAAAAAATGTAACATTCTTTTTAAAAACGTCAACAGACACTCTGTACAAAACAGATGCCCTGGATGATTGCCCTCGGAGCCATGTGTGGGCATGGTTATTTAAATCTAGCCCTCTCCTTTTACCTTAGAGGTTCCACCTTCCCTCTAAAACCAGAACTTTCCAAAATTTCCCCCAGAAATAATGACAAAAGTGGACGAAAGGATGGCTGGTGAACATGCTAGGTGCTGGGCATTCCTTGGGTGACTCTGGAGAGCCAGGTGTGGCCAGGAAGAGTGAGACCCAGCTCCTTCCTTCTCCTTCCCTCTGCATGCRCTTCATCAGGTCCTTTCCCACTGCTTTTGGGAGCACGAGTCTGGCCTGATAAACTGCACTGTGAACTCACAGAGCACCCGAGCTAGAATGCTCTCACCTTTTACGTGGACAAACTGGGTCCCAGGAAAGCGAAAAGACTTTTCCAAGGTTGCTTGGTGAGGGAGGGGTTGACTCAGGCCTAGAAACCTGGATTCACTGAGAAACAACGTGCTGCTCCCACYACTGTGACTGGATGGTCCTGACTGACAGATGATGGTGGTGAGGGTGAGGATAACAGCGATGATGCTCACAGGAGGACAGTGGCATTAAGTACTGGCCTGAGCGGAGTGGTCCAGAAAAACTCTGTGCAACTGGATGAACTGTGAACACCACAAGTCAACCCAAAGGAGTGTTTTCCTCTTGGTAGAAGACAAAGTGCTGCTTTTCTGTTTTCTATAGCCCAGAACATTCTAAAATTCCCTTGTAGCTCAGCCTTATTGTCCCACAATATTTTTGATACAAAGATGTTACCTCTCAATTCACCATGCATTACCAGAAATCATGTGTGGTTGTTTCTAGGGAAAAAAAAAATCCACCCCAATGAACACTGATCTGCCGTTATTGATGCTATTTGGATATATGAACTGTCAGTTCTGAAATTAATTCCAGAAGTCAAAGCCAAGAACAATAAAGGTCCTAACATTATTTGCCATGTACTATCCTTAAATTCATCATTTTTGAAGCTATAGCAAAATATCTGAGATTTATTCCACCTTACAAAAGATGATTACTTTGAATGGATCACCAGTCATTTGAATGAGATATTTCTTCTKTTTTTGTTGTTGTTGGTTTGGGTTTTATTTTGGGGGTACTGGGGATTGAATTCAAGGACACTCTGCYACTGAGCCGTATCTCCAGCCCTATTTTGTGTTTTATTTAAAGACAGGGTCTCAATGAATTGCCTAGCGCCTCACTTTTGCTGAGGTTGGCTTTGAACTCATGATCCTCCTGTTTTAGACTCATGAGCCACTGGGATTACAGGCRTGCACCACCACRTCTGGCTCTGAATGAGATATTTCTTGTATGTGCATTAACAGTAAGTAGCTCTGTCTGCATCATACATCTGTACACTAGCCTCCCTCAGGCAGAAAATCTCAATGGGTCAAGCCTTCCAGAGGACAGAATCCTCCCATTCTAGAGGGGAGGAAAGGCTAYGTTTCTTTCTTTCTAATTTGGCTTAGAAAACTTATGTTCTTTATGTAAGCATTCCACCAAAACACTATTGTCCTATTTAAGTGGCACTTTAAACCATATGCCCAAGAAAAGTCAGTGAATATTTGAACCTAGAGCAGATAACTAGACTCTCTGTTTTCCTTTACTTCACAGACATAAACAACCTGACTTTTGAGGAACTCTGCTTTAAGTATCCAAAGGTGGCCATAAAGAAGATCAGTGATGACTACAAGTTATACTGTGAGAAAGCACCTCTCATAGGCAAGTGTTCAATTCAGGGGTGGATTTGAAGCAATTAGGTTTTCTCAGATCCGAGAGAAAATTTCCAAACTCAGGCAACAAAAATCCAAAGAGGAACCATACCTTATGTGTCATGGAGATGTAGTCAGAAGGTAATTAATTGTCTGTTGTTGTTGTTGTTGTTGTTGTTTTGCCTTCTACAGAGCCCTAGAAGGGTATTAGGAAAATGAGATGTAACTATAAATTATCAAACATAGAGATCATTAAGATTGTTCATTCCTGATTTCCTGTCTAGTAGGARTTTCACACAATGTGTGTCCATCTTYYGCCAAGCTTCCTGGAGTCAGAGATTGTGGAAGGATGTTTGTTAGGGGTGTTCTTGGGAAGGACACCTCTAAAGGAATGAGGAGAACAGCACTGGGCAGAGGTCAAGGTGGACTGCCCAACTATGAGGCAGTCCCAACAGGCCTTAGCAATAGCACAGGAAACTCCAAAGCTAGGATGACCCTCCAGAGTTGTCCCTCACTGGAGCAACAGACCTGGGCCTTTGAAATTCCACGTGGACCCAGATGGGAGGGCACACTTTGGGTCAGGCAATTTCCTTTGGCTGGGCAACTCCCAGAAGGAGCCCCATCTGGGAGCCATCAGCAACCAGCTCTCCAGGCAGCTGGRAATGAATGCTTTGGTCCTAAAGAGAGGATGTGGATAGCACTCAGCAGCTCCTACTGCTGCCCACTTGCTTTGTATAGTAATTTCACCTCATCCCAGAATAGCTTCTCCAGGGATTGGGTGGGTTTCTTTTCCTTGGGAATTTATTCTAGAAAGGATGGCCTACACTACTACACTATTTCTAATACTAATACCTCTCTTCTCCTTCCCATCCTATGTTCTCCTTTTGCTCAGCCAGYATCTCTACTAGTCTTGGGATGGGGCGGGGGTTGGCTCTCATCTCTGATGTCTCTGAGCCCCCGGTCATCATGACTTCTTGGGCCGTGGCTGCTTCCTTCATCAATTTATTATCAGAATTGAGCTAGAGAGTAACATGGGTGACAAGKGAATTCTCATGATCTCAATAATTAGGGATATATCCTATCAATATAATGACTCCTTTGTTGCCTGCTGGCCTCTTGACATGAAGAGTTTAAAGTGAATGGACACCTGCTCTGTCCTCTGGTTCAGAGCCTGACACCATATATACAGGAGCCACTACCCCATGTGGTCATTGAGTTTTTGAAATGTGACTGAAACAAATGTGTTGAATAAAATATGGTATTAAAATTAATTGCACCCTTTTCCTTTAAGCTTTTTTTAATGTGACTACTGGAAAATTTAAATCATATATGTAGCTCACATTATATTTCTATTGGAAAGCACTAGTTTGGACCCAAAAAAACTCAAGTTTTGAGGATGACAGATTTCTCTAGGTAAGTCACTGATTATAAATGGAACATTTCTACCTGCTTCCTCTTCCAGTGAGCTCAGTAATGGTCCCCTCCTAGCCTTCCRTGATGCTTCCAGGAGATCTCACAGAGGGAGTTTTTAACAATGTCTGGATCATATTACTTTCTCAATCATCAGCAGCAGTTTGTATTATGATTATTCCAAAGCATTTCCAGAAATTTTGTGCCTTTYAATGCCTTTTCCTGGCATACACCCAAATCTGGACATGTTCATGGGCTTCTTGAGTCTCTGGTATGTACAGGGGTTTTAACAACCCTTATTACCTTGTTCATCTTCTTTCCTAACCTCATCTTTTTGATTCAACTTTGACCCTCATCTTTTTTGGCTTCAATGTTTGATCTAATTCTGYTCCAACTGCTGTTCCTAGACCCACATTACTGTGGGCAGTACTTGTGCCTTTAAATGCTTTTGGCAAATGTCTCTTGGGTAGCCTCCCTATTCTCTGTGTGAGGAAGTCAGAAATTAAAAACAGTTTGGAGATTTTATTTTCAGTCTAAGGAAGTTCTCCTTAATTTTAGAGGGATTCTCCTTAATTTCAGAAGGAGTCTATTTCATTCCTTATAATGTGATTTTACTCAACTTTGTGATTTTTCTTAGATTTTAAAGTGCAAATTGTCAAGGAACCAAAGGTAATTACAGCCCCACAAAGGAAAATATCCTTCTCCAAAAAATCTGGTACTAGGAAGCCCTCAGTGAGACCCAGGTAAGATGTAGGATCTGGCTATAGTAATATATCCAAGCACCACTTTTSCTTTGTATGTAAGTTTCCAGACCCTTTCCTGTGTATCTTACATGTATGAACAAATACACTTTGCATTTCAAATTATTATTTTTATTTTCTAAAAATGGCAATATGCAATATATATCATGCACTAATTTTTTTTTATCTTAAAACTATCATGGACATCCTTTTAAGTGACTATGTATAGATCTACATCCTTCCATATTATGGATGTTTTGTGATTTATTTAACTGTTCTCTTTTTATGGACTGTTGTTAGCTTTTTTACCACTGTGATAAAAATACCTCACCAGAACCACTTAGAGGAGGAAAGATTGATTTTGGCTTGTGGTTTCAGAGGTTCAATCCATGGTTGCCCAGCTCCAAGGCAGAATATCATGATGGAAATTCGTGAAAGCAGAAAGCTGCTTGGCTTATGGCATCTGGGAAGTGGGGGTGGAGGGAGCCAGGGATAGGATATAGTCTCCAAGTACCCAAGCACAAGCTCCCAGTGATCCACTTCCTCCAGCCACACCTCATCTGTGTGGAGTTACCACCCAGTCCATTCAAATTATTAATCTATCAAATGGATTAGTCCACTGTAGTGGTTCCAGCTCTAACCCAGTCTTTTTGCCTCTGAACATTGCTGCAATGCCGAACACATAAGTTTTTCTGGGAGACATTTCAGATCTAAACCATAACATAGACATTTCCACTGTTTTTAATTTTGCATTGCTATAAATAGTACCATTTTAAGCATTCTTTGTACATGTATCCTTACCCATTTTTTTTTCTGAATTATATACTACTGTTGTAACTTCCTAACTGGTTCCCTACTTCATGTCTTCTAATCAATAGGAGAGTGAGCTTCTGCTAGGCAAAGATTCTGTGGTCTTTTCTTTAAGAGCTTCCCACCCACCTTTCAGTCCTCTTACAGCATAAAATTTCTCCAAGTGCCAAGGCTGCTAAGACTTTCTTCCTCTCTGAAACTCTACATCCCAAAAATATAATCCCAAGCATGTAACATGTACTATTTTTTAGTGCTCTTCATTATTTTTTTAATTAATTAATTTTTGTTCCATTTTGCTATATATGACAGAAGAATGCATTAMAATTCATTTACACATATAGAGCACAATTTTTCATATTTCTGGTTGTATACAGAGTATATTCACACCATTCATGTCTTTATACATGTACTTAGGGTAATGATGTCCATTTCATTTCACCATCTTTTCTTCCCCCATGCCCCTCTCTTCCCTTCCCACCCCTTTTCCCTATCTAGAGTTCATCTAATCCTCCCATTCTCCCYCTCCCAACCCCACTATGAATCAGCCTCCTTATGTCAGAGAAAACATTTGGCATTTGGTTTTTTGAGACTGGTTAACTTCACTTAGCATTATMTTCTCCAACTCCATCCATTTACCTGCAAATGCCATGATTTTATTCTCTTTTATTGCTGAGTAATATTCTATTGTGTATATATGCCACATTTTCTTTGTCCATTCATCTATTGAAGGGCATCTAGGTTGGTTCCACAGTTTAGCTATTGTGAATTGTGCTGCTATGAACATTGATGTGGCTGTGTCCCTGTAGTATGCTGTTTTTAAGTCCCTTGGGTATAGACCAAGGATAGGGATAGCTGGCCAAATGGTGGTTCCATTCCCAATTTTCCAAGGAATCTCCATATTGCTTTCCAGATTGGCTGCACCAATTTGCAGCAATATGTGAGTGTACCTTTTTCCCCACATTCTTGCCAACACTTATCGTTGTTTGTATTCTTGATAGCTGCCATTCTGACTGGAGTGAGATGAAATCTTAGAGTAGTTTTGATATGCATTTCTCTAATTGCTAGAGATATTGAACATTTTTTTCATCTATTTGTTGATTGATTGTATATCCTCTTCTRAGAAGTGTCTGTTCAGGTCCTTGGCTCATTTATTAACTGGGTTATTTGGTTTTTTTGGTGTTAAGGTTTTTGAGTGCTTTATATATTCTAGAGATTAATGCTCTATCTGAGGTTCTTGTGGTAAAGATTTGCTCTCATTCTGCAGGCTCTCTATTCATCTCACTGTTTTTTTTTTCCTGAGAAGAAGCTTTTTAGTTTGAGTCCATCCCATTTATTGATTCTTTATTTTAATTCTTGCGCTACAGGAGTCTTATTAAGGAAAAAAAACCTACAAGGCAAAAAGAAAAAACTACAAGKCAAAAAGAAAGAGGGTTGCAAATGAAACACTAAAGCCACTTGTATTTAAAGAGCAGTGAAAGAAGGAATCAGTAAAGGCAATTTTGAAATAATGGATCAAAAACTGCTGCTCAGTCATGCTCTGTCTCACAGAAATGACTGCTCCAATGGGGGGTTGCTTTAAATCCATGATGTGAAAACAGAATTCCCTTGGGAAAAAAATTACCTTCCTTCAAAATTCCTCCTCTCCTCTTTGACCTGTTGTCAATTGGACCAGGTTGAAGAAGGGCAGATGGAAATTCAAGTTAACCTCCAAGGAAACAGCRCTCACCAATTTGTCAGCCATGCTCTTCACACATGGCTAGAGGCTCTGCAGCCTGAGATGCCCTCCCCCTCCCTAATTAGAGCAGAACCCAGGGTCATCGTCCTTTCTCCATAARCCATGCTCCTCTTGTCTTCCAGGAACTTGACAGAAGTCCTCCTAAATTCACAATACCTGGAGCTCTTCAGGGAGTTCCTCAGAGAACATAACGCRGAAAGCCCATTGCTATTCCTGATGGCTGTACAGAGGATGAATTCGAAAGCCAATGAGAAGACTTACATGTCTTCATTGGAAAACATAATCCAGACTTTCTTCCACGGCAAAATCCCTCCTGGTATGCATCTTTTTCTCCAGAGTCCTGTTTCCTTCTCCCTTTMATGTCCAGAGAAATAGCCTGTCTCACCTAACCAGAAGAGAGCCCCACAGAGCAGTGGCCACATGGGGACAGAATTGGGACAAAGACCAAGACAGGTAGTGAAAGCAGAGAAGAATTAATAAATCCAAAGTTGTAAAACTAGTAAAGGAAGTCAAGTGTAAAATACTTTCACATACATCCTCTCATTTGATTTTATTTAATCCTAAAAGCAGACTTTCCTTTAACCCCTCTGAGGTAGGGATAATCTGCTGCRTTTTCTACATGAAGATGAAAAGTTAACCAGTTTGAAAACCCAGTTTAGGTAGAACTTGAGTTCAGAATCAAGTCATCTGATCATCAAGTCAACTAGGCTGGAGTTAGATGCAAAGGCAAGGCAAGCTGTGTATGCCACACTGGAGTGTTACCCTCCAGGGCCACCTCGACCCACCATGGGAATTGAGAAGTTGTTCCAGTTGTACCAGGGAGAACTGTGTGGCTGTCGTGTTTTCTTACCTAAGGCAGGAGGGTAAACCTGGCCCATGTAAATTCACCTTGGCCAGAAGCAAAGGCTGCAAGTAAAATATTGACTTCGGGGGGTGAGCACATTCCTATCCTGGAGGTGGTCAAATCTATAGAAAAATCATGAAGTCAGCGCTTCCTGTTTAAGCACAGATGAACAGAAGTGGRTCTAGGGGAGATTTTTGTTTTCAGTTAACCAAGAAGAGGGCATAAACAGAAAAATAGAAAAAGAGGTAAAAGTCTTTATTTGTAAGAAATAYTTATTTGTGGAGCCTCAGAATATTGAGTTCTATACATGGCTTTGAATGAACCAGAAGAGAAAGAGGAGTACTCAGATCCTGTCCTCATTAGAGCCTCATTAACCAGTACCACAGTCTCCCACCCCTGGAGCACCAATTGACATTCCCTACCTATTGGTAATCCTGGATTCCCCATCTGCCCTGCCAGACTTTAGTCCTTCACTTGTAGTGCTCTCCTTAAATTGAAAACTTCCCACCAGYKGCAGAAATGAATCYTTTAAAATTTTATTTTCCAAAAATATGGGGAAAAAAATTTTAAATAAAAAAATTCATTTTCCCTTARGCACTCATCTTTGAATTAGAATGGAACTAAAGCAGGACTGCTATTTTATCCACAAATACAYTTGCACATACCATTCCAAATATGCTTTAAAGATGTTCAAATTGTAGAAGGCTCAGAGTTAAACCAGATTGATCGGGGACTGTGAGTCCCTAAGGTGAAAACACACCTTTACCTCAGAACTGGGAGATGAGGATGACAGCCATTTTTTTTTCTTTCTTGCATTTTTTAGAAGAAATGCTGCAGTGCGATGCCCCTCTCATCAAAGAAGTCACTGAAATGAGTCAAGTCAGTACAACCACATTGCTAATGGTCCAGAGCCACGTCATGAAATCTCTGGATGAAAAGTGGTGAGTATGAAGGCAAAGATTCGTGGGCTTTCCAAAGCCATATTAATCAAGGGTCTCACAACCCCTTCTCACAGTTCATTGCTCCAGACCCCCAAGCAAACAAAGAAAAGCCAAGCTTATCTTGAACCCTCTTTCTACCTGTGTGTGTGTGTGTGTGTGTGCGCACACACACACACACACACACACACACCGTTTCTGCTCTGTTGCCTTAAAGAGGAACAATGTTGATCAGTAAAGGTAGACTAATACTCATAAAGGATTGAAATGCTGGCGAGATGGGCATTTTTGAGTGATTCACCGTCCATCTCCCACTGCAGTTCCCTCCAAAAGCTGAGCTAGGTTTGCCTCAATTGTTTATTTTTCATGTACCAGGTTTTGCCTTTTTGGATATTCTTGGTCTCCCTTCTGGCAGGTTTAAGGATTACCAAGATATATTCCCGTTTCCTCCTCCTTCTCCGGAGGTGGAGCCTGAAGCACCAGCTCTGCCTAAGAAGCCCTCAAAGATAACAATGTACCTGCTGGAATCCCAGGTCAGTGAGAAGAGAGTGAAAAGCAGACACTGGACACAAGAAAGCCACTGTCTAGGCATCATCAGCTGCACRTGATTACCACCACTCACCCACTTATCACCAAAAGAATGACCCCTGGGGCTAGGTTCTTAAAGGCCCACTCTATAAAGRAGGAATCTGAGGCTCAGAGAAATGGTTACACTGGAAACCTAAGTCCCTCCCTTCTCCACCTATGATTAAGACCAGCTGATTGATGCACCCAGGAGCTGGGCACACAGGCTCAAATGGTCRGTTTTTCACTGCTGAAGGCTGTTTTAGAGGAACTGAAGCCAAGAGGTTTTATAATCTTCTCTGAACCCCAATTAGACCAACTTCCACATTTAGTCACTGGCATAACAGGACAACTTAAGCCTCCACTTAACAGGGTGAGCCCCAAACTGTATAACAAGGAGTGGGCCTGAAACAGGTGATCAATAGATGAGCAACTTCCAGAGACACATGCCAAGGGCTGAGTGCAGTGCATGCCCATTTCCTTCTCTTACACATGTTGTCTAGCTTATTTATCTCTCACAGCAGGAAGGAAAAAAGGAAGAAGAAACTAGATAGAGTGCTACTCAGAAAAATCTCTTCATACAGTTTGAGAAAAGACACAGAACCCTTCAATAATTACTTGCTCAATGTGTTTCACCGTTGGTTAGAACCATAAAGATTTGAGCCCAACTGTATAATGCCAAAGATCACGCTAAGGTATCTCTGGAAATAGTGCCAAAGCCCATTGATCCACAACTCCACAGGTGAAAAAGTGTTGATCTCTCCTTTCTCCTTTGTATTTTCTCTATATCTGGATTGCCTTTCTRTCAGGGCATTGTGAACAATCACATATGATGTTTAAAAGAATTCTGTWCTCAGAACCAGGACACTTATTTTCATTTCAGATCTTCTAGTTGCTCTTAGTTAAGATTAGAGGAAACCAGCATGTTCTAAGCCCTGTGTTAGGATTTACCTTTATAACCACCAAGCTTCATCACTACACTACTACTTCATCACGTCATCACTACACTGAAGGCTATTGTTTCTGTCTTACATATGGTGACGTTTGGGTACAGGTCAAGGGAATCGAACTAAATTACATAATTAGGGAGAAGCGAGGCTCCAGACTCAATGCTTCTAATGCCAAAACCAGTGTTTTTCAGACCTCACTATGACTGTCTAAAACCAGGCTTACGCTGAGGTCCCCTCTAGATAGAATGAGACAATTGAGCTAATTGTTAATCTKCGAGATTCTTTATGGCTATAAATATCCATTTACCTAGGAGTTAATGAACTAGATAATGATCACTAGGTACCTATTAAAAAGAGATGAAGATTCACTCCCCATATGGGCCACCGGAGAGAGAGAGGGAGAAGAGAGGAAGAAACATAAAATTTATGGGTACAGTTTTATGGGTGTGATGGGTAGATATTAGTGGGTGCATACAGTTTTAGTTTTCTCTTTTAAATGTTTGGCAATGGTTTTGCTCATTTCCTTGTTCCTTCAACATTTCAAAATCTGCCTGAACCATCATTCCTTTCTTGTAAGCTGCCCTTACCTATGTCCCGTGTTTGTTCCTGTTTGAGCATTCATGCTCCCTCTCCAGTGGCACCTCCGAGTCATTTTTGAAAGACTGGTAGAAAGAGAATGGGCAATGGCCCCAGCTATACCTGGTGGAAACTGGTCTCTTCCACCCACCAGCTGCTTGATTTGAGACAGGTTAAACAAGCTTTTTGACTTGAGTTTCCTTACATGTAAGTTAGAGCTAAAAATTATTCCTAAGAAATGTTGGATTAGATATAATGAATGTCGAGTTTCTGGCACACAGTAGACTCTCAGTGAACAGCTATGCTAATGAATGCAATATCCTCTCTTTCTTTTCCCAGAAAAAAGGGTGGCTGAAAATGACCAGCTTTATCAAGAGCTTTTGCAAGTACCGCAAATTTATTTCAAATCCCAGTAAGCGCCAGGAATTTATAGACTATCTTCACTTGGAAATGTGCAATAGCAAAGACAGTAAGTTACTTCTCTGTTTACCCCCTGGACGTATTTCAACCACTAGCATTAGTCCCGATAAGAAGCACAGAGCTTATTGCTTTGTGTCACGACTGTGTCAGCCTGGAGTCTAGCAAGAGCCCCAGGTCCTGAGTGCTGAGACTCACCCAGGCCTCCTTGGACAGCAGCCTCTGCTCAGGGAGCCAGTGAATATGAAGGATGGCTAACAAGGTTTCAAAGTTTATAAGACGATTTCCTGGTGCTGTTTAATTTGATCTTTCAAAAATCTTTTTTAAATTTATCTGCTTGTAAAATTAACATAATATTAATAAAGAAGTAATTTAAAAATTACAGGAATATATAGTGTAGAATTGATAACATGTTAAAGCTTCGCAAATCTACCTCCTGATTATTTTTTTATGTATCTCTTAACATATTTTTTTCCAACAAAATGCCATGTGCTCTCTATTTTATAACTTGCTTGTTTTGCTTAACATCATATCTTAGATGTTATTTGATGTCAGTATACATCTCTCTGCCTTGTTTTCAACTGCCATAAAGTGTCCCTTGTATGAATTTATCCAACTGCTTCATTCATCCATTCATTCATACTTTTTGAGACTTTACTCTGGCACACACTCCAGGTGCTGGGGACACATGGGTGAACATGCACCAAGGGAATCTGCTCTTGAGGCACCTGTAGTTTTCAAATAGAAAAAATGAGCCAGAGATGTTGGAGCTGGATTGCCTGGGTTTAAATCTACCATTTTCTATTGCAAAGACTTGGGAAAGTAACTTTGTGCCTCAGTTTCTCAATACATGGGAGGGATAGAATCCATAGGATAGAATAATTATTCCTATCCTATACGGTTGTTGTGACAATGAAGCGAGGTAATACATTCAAAGCATCTTAGAACTACTGGCAATAGCATTGTGCTCTAAAAGGGTTAACCAGAATATTGCTATTATTACATAATTTTGATGAGTGATCCCAGTGATAGTTACAGGGAGACCCTGATGAAGAGTGGGGGAGTGCTCAGGGAAGACTTCTCCCAGAAAACAGCCGAAAGCTGAGTTTTCAGGAATGATCAAGCTAGACAGGTTGGGTAGGAGGGAACAATGGAAGCAATGGTTGCTAGGGATGCAAAGAGGGTGGCAAATCAGGAACTGCCATCAGACCAGCTGAACCAGATCAATGCAATGGGGAAAGTCCCCGAGATGAGACTCAAGAGTTTCAACAGTGACAAATTATATTTTTCTTAAGGACTTTTGAGTTGTTATAACATGCACCTAAAATTACCAAAGAGAGAAAAGCACAGAGAGAGAGAGAGAGAGAGAGAGAGAGAGAGAGTATTTTTCTGAAATAAATTCTTTAAAATGTTAGTACCGGGTACAGGGTTAAACAGTTAAATTTTGGCCCTCCAAAACCACTAATGTATACTCTCATCAACAGCATCATCTAGTGTCTTGATTCCTCAAATTCTCACCAGTAGGGAATATTAAATTTTTTTGAAAACTGTCAACTTGTAAATGAAAAATAATGTACCATTTTTATTTATATTTCTTTAGTAGTTAAGCCTTTTTATTTATTAACCATTCGTATTCTTTTTTGGACTTTTTTGTATGTTCTTTGTCTTTTTTTTCCTATAGAAATTTTAATATTATTTTTTTAATTTGCAAAAACTTTTGTGTGTATATTTCACTAACTGCTTTACAACCAAATGTTTAGGACTCAAGGGGCTGGGGATATAGCTCAGGTGGTAGAGTGCTTGCCTGCCATGCASAAGGCCCTGGATTCAATCCCCAGCACCACCAAAAGAAAAAATTAGGATTCAGGAATAAATCTAACTCTTCTGTTTCCTCTTTTAAATGAAAATCAGCTCAAGGCCTCATGCCCACCTCCCAGCGTTGTCTGATGGCCTAGGAAAAAGAGCGCCTATTCCGCTCCCCGGGAGGCCTACCTGGCCCTACTTCCCCTCAGACGCAGGGCTGAGCCTGGTGGTACTCAATCTGCCGCTGGTTCACATCTTTTATTTTCAAGTACAGATACATACGAGTGACAGTAGAAACAACTGAATATCTCCTGTTCAATCCAAGAAATAGAAAAATGGGTAAATCAGATGACACTCTGGGCTTCCCTTCACTCACCACAGATGGAACCTCCTTCTTGAACATAAGTGTTTGATTATTGTCTTTTAAAATGTACGTGTTTCCATACCCTCCCTGTATTGACCAAAACAAGTCTCTTATTCCCTTTGGAACCTCCACTCCATTCCTGTTACTGATTGTCTTGGGTCATTCTGTGCTTTTTGTTTTGCCCGAGAAAACAGAAGCAAGCAGAAGAGAACRTCCGGAGCTTTCTTCCACCACTTTGCCTGCTCAGCCACCCCTGCACTCAATGCTCTTGTCACCGGGAGGAAGTGCCTTGCTTCCTCTTCAGTGAGCCCACTCACGTCTTCCCAAGGCCACTAATTGAGCCAGTTTTGTTTGTTGTCTTGCATAAGTTTAGGGGTTTTTGGTTTTTTGGTTTGTTTTTTGGTTTTGCTTTGCTTTGTTGTTGTTTCTGAATTACTCAGCACCAAATATGGCATAGTACCTCTCAACTAWAAATTAATAATAATTTCTCCCTGGTCTATATTCCACTCCAGCTATCTAGCATATTTGTCTGTTTCCCTTTTGAACAAAAACTCTCAAGAATCATGCATTTGGGCTGCACTTATTTTTTTCTTTTCTTCCCATTCATTTTTAGACTACTTTCAAAAGTCACTTTTTAAAATTACAATTTGCATACAGCAAAATTCACCAGTTGTGAATGGGGATGAGCTTTGGCGAATGCAGCTACTGCTGCCATCATGTTATTGAATATTTCCATCACCACAAAAAATKGCCTCATGTCCCCTTTTTGTCGGCATCCTCCCCCATCTACTACCACAGTCTGGTCTGGCAACCATCGATCTGCTTTCTCTCACTATGTTTAGTCTTTTCTAGAATATGCTATAAATGGAATGAGGCTAGCTTCTTTCATATAGCATAAGGCTTTTGAGAGTCATCTGTGCTACTGTGTGTCTCAGTAGTCCATTCCTTTTTATTTCTGAGTAGTATTCCATTGTACCGCACCATAACTTGTTTATCCGTTCACTAATGGATAGACATTTGGCTTGTGTCCACTCTTGGGTTGCTATGAATAAAGCTGCTATAAATATTCAAGTTGAAGTCTTTGTGTGGATATGTCATTTCTCTTACGTGAATACCTAAGGGCAGAATTGCTGGGTCATGGGTTAACTGTGTGTTAACTTTATAAGAAAATTCCAGGCTGTTTAACAATTTGTCTTTCAGAATGATTGCCCTGACTATAATGTAAAGAATGTACCACAAGGAAGCAAAGTAGAAGAAGAACAGGGCTAGGACTAGGGTGAGGCCAGTGGCCATATAAGGCATAAAAGTTAAGAAGGCTCTGAGTCTCAGGGTCACACAAGGCCAACTCTACACTTGTACCACATTAAGTGAAGGTGTGTCCTTCMGTTCTGTGTTCTGGGCACCTCAGTCTCCTTACCTAGTCTGGACCCACTTAACTCAGTTAAGTGGTTTTTCACAATAACTGAAAGATAATGAAACGATGATGGCTAGAAAAATGCAGTTGCAACAAAGACAAATTGTGGGTACATTTGAAATATGTTTAGAAAGCAACAGAGTAWATTGAGTATTGGATGTGGAAAGAGGAGGCAGTCAACTATGACTCCCAGGTAACAGCAAGTTGGAACTGCTGACATTGGTGGGTGAGAGATAATTATTAAATATTCGTGAATTTTTGAGCCAATTGATATGCATCAGTAGCTTGAAATTAATTATAGGGGTAATATTTGCTATAGAAATCAGCAGATAACACAAATCAGTTCTCCCTTCTACCACCAGAGCCAGTTTACAAGTATAACACAGCTTTTATGTTTCCTGGGTGGAATTAGTGCCTTCTTTTCCTCCTACCCCTGACCCTCACTCAGTTCCCACTGTTATCCAGACTTTCTTTTTCTTTAAAGTCAAGTCTAATAAAGAGAGATTATAAAATAGTAAATCAGGGAACAGGTGTCTTAGCCAGTGCAGCAGTAACCCCTGGACCCAGCACATTACCTGGGACAGAACAAGTGCTGGGTGTTGCAGTCACCCTCCTGTCCTACACATTCCAAAAGGAATCCTGCTTATATCACACCCCCATCAGTCACTCCTGAAGGATTTACAGAAAGAATCGTGAACTCTAGAGATGGAATAGACAATTTTCTTAATTCCAGCCGGGTAACTAACCAGGATCTGCTTGTCAGATCCAGCCTCAAACTGTTCTCTTCTCAGACATGAATCCCTGTGCATGGATCTCTTTGGATTTATTCTAGTCTAGAAACTTTCTGAAAGAAACCAAATCTTCTAGAAGCTTCTATGCGCCCCTTTATTTATTCTTACCTCTTTACTACTGTAGCTCTCTACCCTCGGTTTCTTTAGCAAACCTTTATGTTTTGTCTTTTCCTTTGTGTTGTTTTCCCCCATTTACTCCAAAATGCTTCCTTGATAAGCGTAAAGTCAAGTCAGCTGGTTCAGTTTTCAGTCTCTGCAGAAACCTTCRGATTTAGCATAACTTCACTGTGATTATCTCTCTCTCCGACAAGTACCATGAAAATATCCTTTGGTGCTCAACTGAGTTTTTGGGKTTTTTTTGTATGTGCCTTGTCACACAATCTGAGCAGATGGATTTTTCAGCAGCCCTTCAAGTCTAAGGGGCTGTTTGCCTAATGGTAGAGAATGACTATTTCAATAGGCTCAGACGGTGGGTTCATGTCTCCTTTTTTCATTGTAGTTATGCCCAGGCTGAAAGCTTCAGACTTAAGAGTGACTTCGTCACACCAGATTATAATTACTTCCTCTCTCCCCCAGATTTCCCCGGATCACCCAGTTTATCGGTACGTCCAATCCCATTGTCCACCAACATCCGGAGTGCAGACCCAGAGAATGGAGAGATAACCCTTCTAAAGCGCCGTATATATGGTCACAGGGTCATCATTGTCAACTTTGCAATTAATGATTTATATTTCTTATCTGAAATTGAGAGGTAAGTTCCCTATCTCTCCTTCCTTTCCCTCCTCTCCTGACTTTCCATTCTTAAAACCTCCCAGCATAGATTGGCTTGGTGTAAGAAGTATAGTGATTCAGCCCCACCAAGCAGTAAAAAAAATCTCCTCTAAAATCCCCTAAAAATAAATGCAATTGAAAGAGCACTTAGCATATCATCTGGCATGTGATCTGTGCTCATTTAATACTTGTCAATGAGTGAATTATGATTGAATGAAGTCACAACCTGGCCCAGAGCTGGCCCTGCCTTTTTCAATCCAGAAATAAGTCTGGTGCCCTACACTCACTGTTCTCTTCTTCTCCTTGTGATTTCTTGCATCATGTCTCTTCTTCAGATTTAATGATTTGGTGAGTTCAGCTCACATGCTGCAGGTCAACAGGACATACACTGAGAATGACCTACTGCTGCTGCGGGCCAAAATTAACATTATCCTAAGGCTCTTYCTGAATTCTGACATCCCTCCAAGGCTGAGGGTAAGGAGGACTCCCACTCTGCTTTGGCGTTCACCAAGAAGTAATTCTCCCATAAAAACCCTGAAAGTCAATTGCCAGGCATGTCCTGAGTCTTGGACCAGCTCAATGCCCTACATAGCAGCAAGCCCACAGAAAGCTCTGCCTTCTGGAATGGGGTGGTCTTGAGGGTCCCGGGGGCTAGGAGAGATGGCCTGCCTTTCCCGGAAGCTCTGCGGGTAACAGGCTTGCACTCTGTGGGTAGGTGAATATCTCTGAGTCCCAGAAGGAGGCTATCCTTGCTGCAGTTTCAGAGGGCCACCTAGATCGGACCACCTTCCACGGGGCTGTCATGTCCATCTTCCCCGTCATTATGTACTTCTGGAAAAGGTAACCATCTCCCTTTACCCAGCACTGCCAAGCCAGGAAAACACATTTAGCTTTCCGGACAGACTGCTGTCTTCCTCGGGGCCTCTCGTTCCTAATTTCCATTTTCGTGGGGARTATGATGGTGGTTCTTATCCTACTTGATGCACTCTGTCCCTCACACTGAATGCTGAATCAGAGGATGGAGGAGGAGTGAGACAGGGAGGCAGAACACAGGGCTCCTCGGCTCTCCTCTCCCTAGGTTTGCCTGGAGTGACAGCGTGAGGTTTTCTTGGGCCTGGGTTTCTCACCTAAGGGTGAAGTGGATCATAGCTCCTTGGGGAGAACTTGTGTCRAGGCTGACCAACACAGTKGCTTGTGCTTGGGAGCCTCGTGGAAAGAGTCACAGAGAAGCATTTTACTGCTGCGTCCAAATTATTGCCACTGTGATAATTTGCTAAATATTTCAATTTTCAAGAGGAAGTAGAAATTCAGAACTTTATGACACGTCTTCCAWGGTTAAAGTGGCAAATGTGGCAACWAATTCAAAATGAAAATGTGGTGRGGAGCCTGKGAAGGCCAAAATGTGAAAAGGAACAAAACATCCACAGACCAAAGGCAACCTGTGCCCACTGGTTCCTAACCTGCCCCGAGGAGTGGACTGGCAGACTGGCCTCCATTCTCCCAGTTCCCCTGTGTTCTGCCACAGTCCCACTTCATGTCTTCCACATAGTATGTGGCAGTGACCAGAGGACAACTGTGGTATTTCCCCAGACAAGACTAATGGGGATCATGATTTGACTCTGTCTCCTCAGTTTCCCTTCTTTCCTTCCAAAATGTGACTTTAATGAAATAAAATTATAAATCTGCTTACCAACCTTTATTTTAAAATCCCTAAGATAATAAATTATTTAAAACAGGTTTACATAAATACAAAAATCTTAATTTGTAAGCARTTAACCTTTTAAATATCAATTGCTATCTGATGGCACCTAATTTTAGYTCTCCTAACCAGGACTAAATAGAAAACTCATCCTGGGACCTTTTAAGGGATCAAAAACTTCTGAAAAATATGCTTCTCCTGGTTCAACTCAGTGCTCTGCTTCCCAGTCTGTCTTAAGAAAGATTACAGTTGCTTCAGGGGGGTTTTGATCCTTAATCCGCATGCTGTTGGTTCTTTATTTGATTTCCTATACACTTGCAAAGAGATTTATGTTGTGCAAATTGTGTTCATGTGTATTATCTCAAAGAATCCCTCAACAACACTATGAGGTGGGTGTGCAAAGCATAATTACCCCTGTTTTACAGATGAGGAAACTGAGGCACAGAGTAGTTAAGGGACTTGCCTAGGACCACTTGGTAAGTGGTAAAACCAGGATTAGAAACCAGTTCTCTTGGTCTCTTTCCAGCATAAGTAATGCACCTGTGGCATACTGGAAAGTCAGGGGAGGGACACTGTGCAGCAGGTGGGATGGGACAAAGCAACGGTGATAGAAGAACTGCCCCTCGGGGAGTGGAGAGGACAGGAGCAGGCAAGACCACCACAGCCAGGGGAGTATAGAGAATAAATAAAGTCTTAGCCAAGACGGAACAAGGGGTCCAACCCCAGGACTGGCAGAGGGTAGCRAGGAGCTAGGGGGCCAGGGAGGATACCATGGTGAGTGCTGGGGGGCCCTAGGAAGCAACAGTTCTCAGGTCACAGTGATCCAAGAGCCTGGGGAGCCACTGGCTATTCCAGAGAAAGGCCTGCTGAGAAGAAGGTAGGAGATCCAGGACCTCAGGAAGGGGCGGAGGGAAACCCCGGGCGGACACTCCAGCTGCATCAGCTGGGGTTAAATAAAGCAAGCATCCCAAGAGTTATCCCTGCTCCAGGACCAGGCATAGCAGATTCTTCACCAACTCCATTCACTAGTGGCTCCAGAAGAAAGTCCCATTGTACTGCCCAGACCAGGCCCTTGCTGAAGCCAGTTCTGGCCAAAAAAAGAGACCTCAGAAGAAGGGTCTCTGGGAGCAACACTGGAGGCCATGATGCTCTTCTCTTCTCCCTTGGACACCCGTGCTCTCTGAGAACTGGCCCACTCTGGTTTCCCCTGGCCTCTTTATTCTAGCCCCCTCCACAGGGGGTTTTCTCCCTGTGACTGAAGGCCCTTCTTCCCCCAGGTTTTGTACTTGGAAGGCAGCCCGCTCTTACCTGCAACACATGGGAAAGGGGATGAAAGACAGAAAATGTGCTTCTAAACCTGCATACAAATACCCTCCTTCAAGTGGAGGTAAGCAACTGCAGCAACTGAGACTTGAGAAGAGAGAGCTAGGGCCCGAGGGCCAACTGTCAGACTCACAGGGCACAGRGGGGTGTTTGCTGGAACAGTAGATAGCTCCTTAACTTGGTCCTTGGAGAAATGGGAGGCCTCAGSGTAAAGTACATCTTATCTGTGGCTTCCAGCATTATCGAAAGGATACCTCCTCCACTACTGCTCCCCAGCACTGGCTCCCATGAGACTTCGGGGCCTGGCGCCACGGTCCACCTGGAGGCAGTAACTTGCCTCACTGCTGTTTAAGAGCTCCCTGCCCCAACTGTCCATTAAACCCTACTACTTGAAAAGCATTTAATTTAAAGAGTTAAGTGAGAAAAAAAACTTAAAATTGGATTAATGGCATAGTTTTAATGTGATACATACATATGTGTGTATGTGTGTGTGTATGTGTGTGTGTGTGTGTGTGTGTGTGTATAATTGTATAAAAGCATAGGAAAAAACCTTAGAAATAAAGATAAAAGTGTCAATTGAGTTATCTCTGGGAGGTGTGATTGTGAGGGATTTATATAGTTATTAATCTACATATATCATATAATCATGTATTATTAATATGCCTATTTAAAATTATATATAACATTTAATATTTATTATAATATATTACATTATTTAAAATATATTATTAATATGTTTATTTAAAATATAAATAAGCATATGTACTTTTACTTAAGCATAACTTAAGTATATATATATTTATTTAAGTATATATTTAAAAGATATTTATTATTTAAATAAATAAGTATATATCTATACCTTTTTTATACATGTGTACTTATTTATATTAAATATATTATATATAATTTGTATATATATATRT